CCTTTGACTACAAACAAATCTTGGACATGATGATAAGAGAGTAACTGTGATCTTTAGGCTGTTGCAGGAAAGTTAAAAATATAGCAAGTTGATTATATGAACAAACTGTTTTTAGATATAGGTTTTCAGATGTAAAAGCTGGTTTATTTTGTAAGTTAAGGTTATAACCTGGACGGCTGTTTTGTAGACAACATAATTTTTTGATTACCTATATAGATTTTTGGCATATTCAGCATAGGAGAGAGGCGTGGCTGCTCATTTCTGCTAACCTCTAACTAACATATGAAAAAGAAAACAAAGCAAAAAGTGAGCAAATAATCTAGAAAACTCTCTCAGTTAACAAAATCATACTTATCAAGCATCTTATAAAAGACACTAAATCATGGATTTTAGTGCCCAAAATAGCCTCTTTTAATCCATATAATTGATGAACTACAGAAGTCAATGATAAAGCAAGATGGTTATGTACTACATGGACGTAAGACAAATAGTTGGCAAAAATCAAAAAATAAAAAAAGTAAATCACCAGTTTATTAATTAATATCTGAAATCTGGTATACTCAAAGCCATATATACATGTAGCTAACCTATATGATGGTTGATGTAGATGCACCAACATATTTTTCTCTTCACAATCTAGCTTCTTTTCGATAATCCTCTTACTCACTTGTCATGTAAGATATCCATCAGCCATGCAGCTAAGACGTTGTGCCATAATCCTCTTTTCCAATCCGCTTTATCCCAGCAGCTCACTTGCATTCTCTTATCTACTCAGTTAACGCTGATTCGGAAGAGTATTATTCTCAGTTTTGAGAGTTCCCTCATGTTCCATGTAAAGGAATCACCATATATTCAGAGATTAGGTTAGCGACTGATTATATCTATTTTTTGTGTTATCTTACCACTACATGAGGACGATGGTCCTGCTACTCTGCCATCTTATTCTCCTTGCTTCTACATTCTTTCTCGTTCCCGATCAGCTTCTTCTCCTCCCTTGACCGGTTGTCTTTGTAGAAATCTTTGAGAAGTTTTTTTTTTGGCTCCAAGTAAACCTTGTTCCCTACTAGATCTATTTCGTGAAGACTAACCTGTGGCTGGTTCATCCATTGAACTCTCGAGAGAGAGGTAATCAGAAATTAGAGAGTTAGAATCGAGAAGAAAGTGACGATTGGAAGATGAATTGTTTTGAGGGATAAATAGATGATACCAAAGAGTTTAAGGAAGATGGATCATCGTTACAATGAAAGTAGAGAGAATTGGGAACGTCTGAGAAGAGAAACTGTGAAAAAGAAAGAATGGGATCAAATAAGCTTTGGTGCTTATGTCATATAGTGTTTCCTCCAAAAAAAATATATAACAAAATGCTGTCTGTCCATAATATCTGGGTTTGGCCCAAAACTAATTTTGAACTTTTTTTCATTGATTTTTAAGTTGCTGATGTGGCACGATTATAGAGAGTTTTTTTCTGGCTGAGCTGGATAGCTTAAGGAGCCCCAAACAGCTCCTTTTGTTTAGTACTAGAGATTGTTCCGCACTACGCGCAGATTGTAAATTATAATTTTTTTAATATAAATTAGATAAGATTTAAAATTATGGGAATAAATTAAAGAAATGTAAATTCAAACTAAAAAATATTTTTTATTTTGATTATTTGTAAGTGTAATTATCTAATTTGCTAAGAAATATATATTTCAGCTAGTTGTGCATTTTTATGAGTTACTTATCCTATATTGATTATGTTTAATTTTGGGTTAGACATTTTATTCAAAACCTTATTTGGAGAATGATCTAGTTTAGAAAATGGTGTGTTTATATTAAAGTTATTATCTTGATTTAAAATATAAGGTTAGAACTTTGTATCTATTTATATTTAGTGTCTTTGAAAGTATCTATCTTGTTTTACAGTTTTGATATAAAAATTTGTATAATATTATTTTGTATAATACAGTTCTTCGATATAATATAATTCTTCTATATAAGTATAGGGTTTGATCCATGCTACTAATAATTAGTTTTAATATTTTAAATATAATATCCTACTTATATAATAATTGTTTGAATGTAATGTTATAAATTTATAAGATAATTTTTATAAATTGCTTATGATGCATTTGAGAATGGTGTTATTTTATATGAAATATTATGTAATTATCTATTTTTTGTATGGTCTTTGTTAGTTGTTTCTTTTATATTTTAAACAGTAGGGGAATTATAATTATGTTTTATGTATTTTTTGTTTGTTGTGTGTGTGGAAGTTATAAGTAGTTGTTTTTCTTTTGTGTTGTAATAGAAAGTAGAAGCGAATGAGTGAGAATTTGTTTATTTGTTTGCATTTTGTTCTTATTTCATTTTGTAATTAGAAGTTTGAACACAAATTTAAATGCAAAAACTTGATAAAATAGACATAATCTTTATGAATCCTTCTTTTGTCTTTTTCAATTGCTTATTTTTATTGTGAGAAGGTTATGAATTTTAAAAATCCCTTTAAAGTTCTAATATTTGACCCGTTTATACAAAAAGGCAAACAATCCAAGCAAGCTTAGCAGGGCAAACACATATAACTTCATCGAATCTTTGACTAGCAAAAAACGTCTTTCCCTGGATATTCGGTGACCTATAATTTGTGTAGATGAATAAAACGGCCAGCCTCCAAAGCTTGGATACATCTCACATAGAACGGTATGTAAGCTTACACTTGTGATCATGGTCGTATCATGGCATTTTTCTCTGACAGTTTTGGAAAGGGAAACTGGAAAAAATGTTTAGCTTTGTTACAATGATTTGATGAGCAGATTATGAAAGAGCATAACTAAAACAAGTGATTAAATAGCAGAATTTATCTATACAAGATGTAGTAAAAGGAAGAAGTTCATAACAGGGGACGCCATATCCAACATTGTCAATTATTTAAAACCGACCATTTACGAAAACATGAGTTTTCGTCAAGGTTTTTAGCTCACCTACAAAAAGACATGTTTAGAAAGTAATCCAGATTACACTATCTCTTCTACACTGTTTCTTATCTTAAAATAAATGTATACTAAACGAAGATAAAACACCATTGAATATTAAGATAGTTAAGAAAAAAATCACAAAGATATTAGAAACACAGTTGGCGCAAATTTATTGAGTGAATGAAGGAATTTTAAAAGAGATATCTCAGTTTTGTGGAAAAATTAATGATACAATTTTTAAAATGTTTTGGTTCTTACTTGATCCCCTAATACCTCATTGGGATCAGTTTTACTCAAACGATGCCTCTGCATAACAACATAAACCCAATAAACCAGATGCACAAAACAACATGATGAATTCAATATATATATATATGTCATACCAATTTCAGAAACTCATAATATGAAACAATATATCTTACCTTTCAGCAGCCTGACTTCTCTTCCAGCAGAAGATAATGAAACTATGTTAATAAATTATCTGATGGAATTTAAAAATGAGAGTGGAAAACTGAGGAGGTGGAAAGGAGCTTAAGAAAGAGATTATGGCTTTGTGGAAGACGATGGGCTTAGTTTAAGGATGAGTCTCTGTTTTAAATAGGGTTTTGTGGCATAACATTTTTAGGAGGAGCCGAAGAGGTGTTTTCTGAAATTGATTGCGAGAATTATACATGTTGGCGTGGGAAATCAGAGGTTACATTAGATATATTTGAAGGGCTTTAATTGTTAAGAAGCATAAGTAGATTTTGTTGGGCTTAGACGTGTTTTAGGAAGAGCTGATTAGAAGTGATTTACAATGAGAAGGTGCTGATGTGGCATGATTTTGGAGCATTTTGTCTTTGTTGTGTCTTATAGTCAGCATTTTTTGGTTTTTTTTTTCTTCGGGTGGTTTTGTGGTCGTTTTATTCTTTCTTATGAACTCGTTTATTGATATATGGTGTTTGTAGTTTTCGTTAAAAGGGAAGCTCTTTATTTTGTAATTCAATAATTTATGCTAATTGCATATTATTAATTAGTGTTAATTGATTTATTTGTTATTGAGAATCGTAAATTGGGGAGTGATATTATGTTGTCTTCTGTGAATTTATTAAGTAGTATTTCTCATATCATTTTTTTCTCTTATTTTGTTTGTAGTTTATTAGGAAGCTGTTTTGAAAAGTATCCAGATTTGTTTCTTTATTTTAATGATTAAAGATTTTGTTAATCGTTTGTTATCGTTAGAATACAATATTTAGCACCTTGACAGGATTGTCAGTTATTATATTGTTGGAGTGATAAAGATCATCATCACGTACATATAAAGAGATTATAGGATGATAATAATTTTCGGTGCTGTAGGTTTTCTGCAATTTAAATTATTTAAAATATGTAATTGAGGAAGTATTTGGTCGCCTGGTTTATATAGTCAAGTATTACGCGAAAACATGTTTGTTTTGTATGCAATTTTTGTTTTACTTGTTTGAGACAGAAATGAGTTATTTTATAATAGGCTGTTATATATATGTTTAATTAATATAAATTATTGGTTTTAAACTTGTTGATTTTTTTATTTTTATTTTTCAAGCTTTAGAAACTGATGCCACGTGGCATTGTGGGAGAGAGTTTTTTTTGCTTAGGTGGATAGTTTAAGGAGCTCTAAATAGTCTATTTTATTTAGTATAGATAGGTAGATTGAAAGATTTCTAATCGAATCACATATATATAATATATGTCACAACAAAGTCGGTGTCTCAGCAACTTTAATTTTTCTTTCACTTTCCGACTTTTAGGTCATCAGTCTTAGAAAGACATATCATTTGATGATTATTAGTTATAACTGAAACCAAACTATACTAAAGTATTGTATGTTCCATTTTCTTCTTCTTCTTCTTAATGCATGGTTCGTAATAATAGTGAATGCAAATATCTTGAGAAACTGATATAATTAGGGTATCTGATGTAATAATTTCTCATTAATATTCCATCTTCTCGTTTCATTTGTGCAAAAAGTAAAATATCCATTGATGGATATTGTTTGTGTCCGGTAAATATGAAAAAAAGATGAAATAGAAGAAGAAAAAGAGCTTTTGTATTGGATGAATAAATAAAACCCAAGTAAATTAGAACATACACTAAATATCATTCACACAAATGATTATATATATTTGGAAAATGAAAAACACCACAAGTTCCATTATTTATCATTACTTTATAATAAAGGATCTTGCACACAAATGGTCCAGATAACATACTAACATTTAAAGATACACACATATGTGACATAGTGAGCCGAACAAGACAAAGTCTGGTTCTATGCTTGTGCTGTGAAACGGGTGCTTTCCATTATGTGATAGGCGCTAGCCTGCTCGAGGCCCTCACGCCTATGAAATTCTTTGATCTGCGCATCACAACGGAAATGAAAAAAAAGTTGTATAATAAAATAATGCAATTAATTCGAATATTAATCGTTTCTTACCTCATCAAGCGGCAAGTCTTTGAACTGTGGAAGAATTAGACGTTGAACGAACTCAATGTATGAAGCCGTGATGGTTTCAGTTACTCCGTCCGCAAATTCAACCGCAAGTTTCTCCGACATCAACGAGACTTGTAACAGTAGACCATCTTCACTCACTGAAATACATTGTCGTCCAATTAAAAAAAAAAATGGTTATAGAATAGAGAAGCATTCGAATGTGAATTCTCAATAAGTGAAGAAAACCTTTGAGAACTCCTCCGTCCTTGTTGAGTACAAATTCCTTTTGTTCGAGATACTCTTGGATGCATTTGATGTCACTGAAACGGTGTTTAAGCCGATGAACCGCAAAAGCAAGATGGTTCAATGTGTAGCCGTGGATAAGCGTCCATGCCGCAAATTCGCTTTCTCTTTATCATTTATAAACATTAAATTAGCTCTAACCATCAAATGTGTAGGTTAAAAACACTATTTGAAAAAGAAAACAAAAATGTATTGGTTTATATATAATATGATATTGATCAGAAAGTTATGACATATACTTGGCAAGATGATTGAAGTCGGTGGATGTTGGCTTATCCCAAATTAAAGACCCCATGGTACTTGAAAGAACTGCTTGCTTACCACCTTGAGGTTTCAAATACTTCCTTATTATCTCCTAATCAAGAAACCAACAAAACAGATATTATAAAAATGTTAAAGACTCATAAATGGCAACATTAATACGTTTTGTGATCATTCATCTATATACCTGTGATTCAGGGCTCAGTTCGTCCACAAGAAGCTCTGCTATAACAATTCGTGGTAAAGGACCGTTGCCTAGACCGAGACCATCACCGGGGACGTGAACATCCGGAGGAGAAAGCCAGTGAACATGTACCTTCTTCTTTGGAAAATCAAGTTTGCCTCCAATTGTATATCCATAATCCATGAAAAAACTCGACAAGGATTCTATTCCGTATCCATCGACCTAAATCCACACCACCAAAGAAAAAAAAACGAAAAAAAGAAACAATTCACACCGTGAGAACCGGCCCAAAATGTTGTCCAAAGTTATAACAGAAACTTTTTTTTTTTAACGCACTAGAAAAGTCTCAAGAATTACTGCACTCCAACTTATCAAAATTGATACTCTTCAATTCTTAATATATTTTGATGTCTAAAACTTGCGCTAATTTAGATCTGAGCCAAGCATGCACTGCACACAACTGGTTTGACCAAGTCTTGAAGAGTGAACTCGTACCTTGAATGTTCTGAAAAAGAAATGGTCGTATGAGATCTTTTCGTTGTCCACCGACTGAACTAGTTCCCATACTGTCTTCGCCATCGGATTCTTCCTCAAATACGTTTTCAGTATACTTTCAAGCACATCTCGGAGAAATGTTTCACTTCCTCCCTAATTACAACATAATAATGTATTACGGGGATATGATTAATTGATTCGGTTCTTGTAAGAGAAAAAGAAAAAGAAAGAGAAAGAACCTTAAACGATGAAGCATGAGGCAAGTCGAGAGAACCCATGTGGAAATATCCTTTGAGCTCTGTATGAGAAAGAAACACACAGCTTTGCTAGAATTCTGTTGTTCTTATATCCTAAATTCGTATTTTATTATTATTACCTACCTACCTATGTAGAGAGGATGGTGGAAACCAAAGCAGCCAGTGATATCACGTGTATCATTTCTATGATTAGTAGCGGACAATATTGAATATTATTGAGCTAGTGGGGTGAATCCAATCATCGAGCAAACTATTGGTGGTTGGCAGACTTTGTTTGTTTTAAATACTTTTTTTTTTTTTGAAATTTTACTCTCAAGCTCGAATTATCTGTTGCTACTTTGTTTTAAACTGAGACACAGAAATTACGCAATTGTTAATGCTAATGTTATTATATAGGTAATTAACATTCCATCCTCGAGATTCCACAGTTTCTCAACTTTTCTATGCCTAAAATTCTGTTCCTCTCGATATCTACCTTTCTTGTTAACTGCTGTTCTTGTAATGATCTCGCCGGATCAGTTTCGTTTCCTCTTATGATGAAAACAAATGATTTGATTTAAAGATGCAGATCCAACCAAACATGTTGCTTATTCTTGTTTCTCATTTCTCACTTATATGTTGTTTAATAAATAAAAAATGTAATGCTCTTATGGACCCTTTGTTACCATAATCTCATCAAACTGAGCAAATAAACAGTCTGTGAAACCATAATTTTTTATTTTAAGTTGGGGTTGTGTTGCCCACTTACATCATTCACAATTGTAGTGTATATAACTAAGATGATCCCCCACATCAACTTTATTTTAATTGTGTCAAAAGTCCAAAAGTGGGACACATCACAAGTCCATGTCAATAAACAATCTCCCAAATTGAAGGAAAAAACCTTCCAAATTGCAAACCAAAATATCATAATAATTCAAGTGTTGGGAGAGAACAAACCAAGCCAACGAATAATATTTATAAGAGAGCTTACTACGGCTCACGAGACCATTTGTATAAGTAAGAATTTGTTGGTTTATATACATCCCGCGAGCCAACCGCCATCAGGAAAACTTCCATTCCATATCAACACCTAGCTAAATCAGCCCTGCATTCACATTTTTTCTTTGTCACTAACGCCTCTACATATATATCAAACTCACAAGAGAGAGACGCAGAACAAGATTGTTTTGCAAAAGTGATCAAACCTTGAAAACAATGTCCTCGGCTTGACGATGGCTACATCCTGTGTGCCATCGCTTTCAAGCAAATCTACAGCAAAGTTGTTCAGCCCCTGAAAAATAGAAGAAGCTTCTTCCCTTTAACTCGTTTGAAAATATTATGCGAATAAGCACGGTAAATTCAAGCTGATGTGTGACTTCTCAAGTAAACAAAAATAAAAGACACCTTGGTTTTGGCATCTGTAAGCAAATTACGAGCCCTCTGGTTTACGGGAAGGTGAAGCTGCTCCTGTAAGATTGGAGTTGATTAATTCGTGAGACAAACAGCCATACAATAAATTTGCACTTCCTTAAAGAAAGAACATAATACGTTCTTTAACACACAAAAAAATAATAATAGAGATATTTGTACAGAAAAATAGAGGGATCAAATCGATTTAAGAGAACCCTTACCATTCTAGGTAGTTTTGTGCTCTTGCCTCCTAAAAAGCTACACAAGTTTGCCATATAACCATTTGTGAGATCCTGACACCAGACACAGAAACAGAAACAGAATCAGCTCTGAGTTACTAACTCATGGGTGGTTCAATTAAAGAAACCATGATTATGATTTGTTTTTTCAGGCTAATGATGCCTGCTAATAAGTGTTGTTCATATCTGAAAGGGTGGAACATTCAAGATAAACATACCTGATTGTATTCCACCATGTCCAACTTCTCATTCTGCAAAAAAAGTTTAAATGCCAAAATAGTTAGGAGAGGTACTAAAAAGGAATGAAATGCTCGAAAGGAGCATTCTTATTCCTGATCTGATCTCAAAGACTAGATCATGATAGATGCAGCAAAGCACATGCCAATGAGTGTGGAAGAGAAACAAACTACTCATCTTCGGCATTGCTCATATATGCCTTAACAACATCAAACTAAGACTCACCAGTCCCTTAATCATACTATGCACTGTCTCCAAATTATTCTCAAGAAACTTGATATCCTCACGAGCCAAGGTCACCTGTTCAACATAACCAAAAACCACATTTCGTTGGTCCAAGACTGTTCAACATACTACAGATACATAACAATGAAAGGCGATCGTTCTAGTACCAAGGAACTAAAGAGACGGCAAAAAAATAATAGTAATTCATATACCTTGTTATTGATTTCCTTGGAGAGATCAATCTGCTTTTCTACCTTATCGTCCATATTCTGAATCTTTTGCGTTAAATGCCTTTTCGCAGCCTGAAAATTAAACGATTAAAGGATCAGGCTTTATCACCAGAAACACCATAAAGCAAAAGCAAAAAAAAAAAACGAAACTCACAGCGAGGGTCGCCGAAACTTGCTCCAGATTCTTAGTCAAGTTAGCCACGGCATTAGCCATGTTGGCTTTTGTCACGTACATAAGGTCAGTGAAGGAGAGTCCCTAACCAGTGAACAAGCACAAAACATTTATTCAGTTCCCTCAACAATGAAACCCACTTTGACAAAAAAAAATCAGTGTAAACAAACAGGAGAAATCACAAGAAAAACGAAAAGTTAATCTCACCTTCCACCACATATAACAGTATCCTACAGCTCCCAATGCAGCAGCAGGAAAAGCAAGGGCTTGTAAGTTTGCTGATAAACCAAAAGAACAAGAGAGACTGATGAGTCAAATGATACTCCAAAAAACAAATACTTTCAGAAGGATTACAATATCCAGTATCTTTACATACCACCAGAAACTCCATTCATGACAGTTATCTGCCTCGATGAAGCTAGCTGTCGAACCTCCATGGCCAAACGGTGAACCTTCAATTCGTCGCCGTTTCATTAGAGATCAATAGCATTTTGAATCCAATGGAAGAAATAAACAAAAAACGGAAATTAGCAAAAGTACCTGGGCAGCTATAGCATCAGATAAATCAGAATCTCCCTCAGATCCATCTCCAGATTTCTCCACACCTTTCACCAGAGCCTATCGAATGAACAAAATCGTGCCCAACAACAAAGTCAAAGGAGGAAGAACAAAATGAGAGAGACGGAGAGCGCACAAAACCAATAAATGTAGTAAGTACCTGCAATTCACCCAACAAATCCGATAATTTTCCGTTCTTCATCATGATCGTACCAGTGTAACCTTTAATTCAACAGAAATCGGAAAACGTATCAGAATACACAGATCCCGTTAAGCAGCCGCGAAGAGCGCAACAGTTAGAAGCGAAACGAGCTAGAGCCCAGATGAGCAGAGGGAAAGAGAGTTACACAGACCTGCTCCAGCTAAGAGGACGATCCTCGATAAGCCAACTCCGGCGTGCATCGCCATAGCTCCGACTGTTTTTTACACCGCCGTCGAGAATGGAATTTAATTTAGGTATTAAGAAGAAGCAACTGATGTTTTTGTTTCTTTTTTGCTTTATTGCATTTATTTTTATTTTTTTTCTTTCACTTTTTTTTTTGGGTGAGAGAGAGAGAGATACGTGCTGCTACTGGTTTACTTCAGAACGACGACGTCTCGTGGTCAAACTCAACCGCCTCAACTCGCGGTTGTCTTGGTCCCTTCAAAACATTACCTAATGATGTATCGCCACGTGGCACAAGATGTTTTCGTTTTTGTGTTATTTTTACCAGGAAAATAAAATACCACACTTTATTGTAGATTGATTTGAAATAAGTTTTGCATTTGTCAGCATATGAGTAAACTCTTGCATAATAATAAAAATGGATCAAAAATGCTTGAGAATCATATATAGTCTAATAATCGTTGATGATTTCTATGATAAACTTTTAAACAAAATAATGGTTTATAACGAGGTCATGCATGGTACTAGCTCAAGAGCGTGACCATCTACTCATTTTATTGCTCATAATCCTCCTTTTCTTGTTAGCCTTGTTCTTCGAAGCAAGCTTGAGTTTCCTCTTTGCGTTTCTCTCAGGGTTTATCACCGCCATTAGCTTCTCCTCTCGTTTCCTCTTCTCCCTCTTCGTTTTCAAACTCTCCTTGATCTCTCCGTAAACTTGCACAAACATCTGGCTGCCTAAGCTCTTCTCTTTTATACTCTCGCTTACCTCTTCCGCTAACTGTTTCAGCTCATCGGAGATGACTTTCCCTGTAAACCCTTCGCAAACTTTACACAGCGGAAGCAAGATTCTGAATGCGTACAGGCGACACTCTTCTTGGTTCTGTAAAGAAAACACCGATAGTGCCAAGCACTAGCCCAAGACCGTAATACCCGAGAGATCCGAAAGAAACAAAGACCCTCTAAGTATGAATAATAAGATGAAAGAATACTTAGAGAAAACTTGAAGGAACTTTAGAGAGAATAAGAGAACTTATGAAGAACACTCTTTCTTTATTTGTTCAACTTCTCTTGTTTACAAATGATGGAGTAGTGGGCTATTTATAGGCTCCACTTATTACAAAATATCTTACAAACATTCTCCTAATCTCTAGAATTTTCTACAATAATATCTAGAATTTTAACTACAACATCTAGAATTATCTATAGAATTATCTAGATATTTAACTAATAGAATTCTCTAGAACATTTAAGAAAGATGATGATTTTTAGTGATGTTTCTAGAGATTCTAGAAGCTTAATTTTGGGCCTAATCTAATAACTAATAATTATTTTATAAACCCAAAATTAAGCTTAACCCAAAATCAAGTTTAACTTCAATACTCCCCTTTAAACTTGATATTGTCAGTCATCCCGAGCTTCGAGCGAAGTAACTCGAACTGACCTTTTGGTAATGACTTGGTGAAGATATCCGCAACGTTGTCCTCGCTTCGAACTTCCAAAGCTTCAATTGTCCCATCAAGCACCTTCTCTTTTATGAAGTGATGCTCTAACTCAATGTGTTTAGTCCTCCCATGGAACACCGGATTATTAGCCAGCTTGATCGCACTTTGATTATTTCCATAAATTGCAATTGGCTTATTGATTGGCTCGAACAGATCTTCAAGGAGTCTCTGAAGCCAAATACACTCTTGAGCTGCTAGAGTTGACGCTTTATACTCTGCTTCAGTTGTAGATAACGACACCGTTGCTTGCTTCTTACTGCACCATGAGACACTTGTGTTCCCACATAGGAAAACATAGCCTGAAGTTGATTTCCGATCATCAAGATCTCCACCAAAGTCAGCATCCGTGAAGCCATAAAGAGAGACCTTGGCATTATACTTGTACACCAGACCCATGCCAAGAGTTGTCTTCACATACTTCAATATCTTCTTTGCCGCTTCTAGATGTGGCTTCCTTGGTGCCTGCATAAACCGACTTACAAGACCTACCGCGAAGGCAATGTCAGGTCTTGTAATGGTTAAGTATAAAAGACTTCCTACAAGAGAGCGATAAGGCCGAGGATCAGGTAGTAAGGACCCTTCATCGCGTTTAAGCTTTATGTTGACATCCATTGGAGTAGAGCGTGTCTTTCCTTCGTGTACTCCAAACTTCTCAACGATTCTTCTTGCATAGCTTTGTTGGCCGATGAATATTCCACCTTTTACCCTTTCCACCTCCAAACCGAGAAAGTTGTTGAGCTCTCCCAACTTCTTCATCTCAAACCTTATCGACATATCCTCTTGTAAACGAGTAATTTCTGCATCATCATTCCCGGTAATTATCATATCATCCACGTAAAGGAGAACTACCACGTGGACTCCTCCATTCTTCTTGAAGAATAGACTCGGATCAGAGTTTGATGCCACATAACCGCAGAACTGAAGAAACTGAGCAAGCTTTCCATACCAGGCTCGTGGAGCTTGTTTTAACCCATACAAGGCCTTCTTCAGCTTACACACATAATCAGGATGCTCTCGTGATATAAAACCAAGTGGCTGCTCCATCAGGATTTCCTTGTCAAGCTCTCCATATAGAAAAGCATTCTTCACGTCTAATTGCCATAACTTCCAACCAAAACTTGCAGCCAAAGATAAGAGAGAACGTACCGTAGTCATCTTGGCTACAGGGCTGAAGGTCTCATCATAGTCTTCTCCATACTTTTGAGAGAATCCCCGAGCAACCAACCTTGCTTTGAATCTATCAACGCTTCCATCTGTTTTGCGCTTGATCCGGTACACCCATTTACAAGAAACAGGTTGGGCATTCTTGGGTTTTGGAACCAAATCCCAAGTTTCGTTCTTCATGAGAGCATTCATCTCCTCCTTCATTGCGTTTTCCCACTCGTCAACACCTTTTGCTTCATCATAAGATGTTGGCTCATCTTCATCTAATGGAGCTGCAAAGTAGCACGAGAAGGTAGTAACAAACTTTGGATCTCTGAACCGAGCAGGTTTAATGATGTCCCTTTTAGGCCTTTGACTAGCCGTGGAACCATGATGTTCCTCCTCATCCTCCTCTTGATCAGTGCTCCCCCTTTCACCTTGCATCTCTTCTTCAGGACCTTTTTCCTTACTCAGAGCTGGTTTATCACTCTTGGAGGAACTCCCACCTTCTTGCTCAACTAAAACTTGAGGTGGCCCATAGAATGAGGAAACTTCATCAAAAACAACATCTCGAGACACTACGTACCTGTGTGTCTCTGGATCCATACACCTCCACCCTTTTCTTTGTTCGTCATAGCCAACGAAGATGCACTTCTTCGTCTTTGCCTCCAACTTGGTTCTTTGAGAATCAAACACATGGACGTAGCAGACTGATCCAAATATCCTGAGATGTTTCACTGACGGCTTCTTCCCATGAATCATCTCATACGGAGACTTCATGTTATTTGGACTGAGTGGCATCCGATTTATGACGTACACTGCGCATCTCATGCCTTCCGCCCACAAGGCTTTAGGCAGATCCTTCCCATATAGCCAGCTTCTGCACGTCTCAGTTAGATGTCGAATCTTCCTTTCCGCTACTCCATTTTGTTGAGGTGTATACGGACAAGTAAACTCTCTCTTTATTCCATGCTTTTGACAAAAAGAGAGAAACTCCTTGGACATGAACTCCCCTCCATTATCTGTCCTTAAGGTCTTGATTCTCCGACCCAGCTCCCCTTCCACGGTAACCTTGAATTCTTGAAATTTGGAGAATACTTCTGATTTTTTCTTCACAAAGTATACCCAAGTGTGCCGTGAGAAGTCATCAATGAACAGCAACATGTACCGAAACCCGGAATATGAGGGTGTTCTTGTAGGACCCATCAAATCACTATGGATCCTCTCCAACAGAGCACTGCACCGTGAAGTAGAATTGTCAAATGGAAGTCTATGTGATTTTCCATATTGACAACCTTCACAAAGCTTTCCTTCATCTTGGATCTTCAGCTTCGGAAGCCCATTTACCAACTCCTTATTCACCATAACCTTTAGCTTAGTCATGTTTATATGACCAAGCCGAGCATGCCATATAGAGGCATTGTCGTTTGTACTCATCTTCTCCACGTATGAGTTGGACGCAGATAAGACATATAGATCCTTAACCCGCGATCCGGTGTGAACCACATCCGCCTTTAACTCTTTAATATTCTTCAAGAATTTGACGTCTCTTGGGCCAAATAAAACGTAGTTACCTGAGTCTACTGCATTCACCACAGAGAGAAGATTCTTTCTTACTCCAGGGACATGGTATACATTCTTGAGGGTGATAGGGCTTCCATCTTCTCCTTCAATGACAACAGTCCCTTCCTTCTCGACCCGGTGAACTGAATTATCCGCGGTAATTATGGCTTCTTTTCCATCATGGCGCTGAAGACTAGAAAATAGCTTCTCGTCTCCGGTAATATGGTGGCTACAACCCGAATCCACAATCCAATCATTTTCAAGATTTTTAGTTGTGGATATACCTGAAGATGCAGCCTCCACCGTGAAGCATTTCCCCCATTCTTCGTCTTCAATATGACCTTTTGATTCTGCCATATTTGTCTCCTTCAGCTTGACTCGACAATCCTTTTTGAAGTGCCCAAGCTTTCCACACCGGTAGCACTTGAATCGCTTCTTATCTCCAGTAGAAGATCCTTCCGGTCCATCGATGTTCTTTGCACCATCGTATTTGGATTTGGCTTTGAAGTTGTGTTGCTTCCGAGCTACAAAGGCGCTCCCCGAGTCATCATGGATTTTGACTCCTGCCATTTGCGTAGCTAATGACTCTTGCGAAGCTAGCAGGTTCTCGAACTCCTCCAAGGAAGGTTGTGTAGCCCATCCTTGAACCGAAGTCACAAACGGTGTATACTCAGGTCGTAGACCTCGAATAATATACCGTTTTAAACGTGCTTCGGAAATTGACTCCTCCGGATTTAGAGTATTAATCTCTGAGCGAAGATTCTTTACCTTGATGAAAAACTCTGAGATTGAAGACTCCCCCTGCTTTGCATTCGCCAACTCGTTCTCTAACAGTTGTAGCCGAGCTTCATTCTTCTTGTTGAACAACTGATCTAACGCCTGCCAAATGGAACTAGCGGATGTGCAACTTGAGACATGCTCAAAGACTCCCGAGGATATTGACCTCTTCAATGCAAACTCCGCCTTGGCATTCTTCCGTGTCCACTCCTTTGTCGCTTCCGCTGTCGCAGCAGCTCCCCTTGGTGGTGTTGTGCTACTGCCGCCGACGACATCCCATAAGTCCCTCACTCACCAAGTATGACTCCATGCATGACTTCCATAACCGGTAATTGGATTGGTTTAGAATCTCCATTCCCAACCCAACAACGCGACCCATTGACTCCATACTTAGAGTAAATCTGAGATCTCAATTAATCCGATCTTGAAAAAGAACCAGATCAGAATGGCTCTGATACCATGTAAAGAAAACACCGATAGTGCCAAGCACTAGCCCAAGACCGTAATACCCGAGAGATCCGAAAGAAACAAAGACCCTCTAAGTATGAATAATAAGATGAAAGAATACTTAGAGAAAACTTGAAGGAACTTTAGAGAGAATAAGAGAACTTATGAAGAACACTCTTTCTTTATTTGTTCAACTTCTCTTGTTTACAAATGATGGAGTAGTGGGCTATTTATAGGCTCCACTTATTACAAAATATCTTACAAACATTCTCCTAATCTCTAGAATTTTCTACAATAATATCTAGAATTTTAACTACAACATCTAGAATTATCTATAGAATTATCTAGATATTTAACTAATAGAATTCTCTAGAACATTTAAGAAAGATGATGATTTTTAGTGATGTTTCTAGAGATTCTAGAAGCTTAATTTTGGGCCTAATCTAATAACTAATAATTATTTTATAAACCCAAAATTAAGCTTAACCCAAAATCAAGTTTAACTTCAATAGGTTCAGCTGTAATGCAAATTCTCTATAGACTCTGAACACAACACTCATCTGAAGAGAGTCCGCGTCAAACGCAATCTTCCCCATTCTCTTGAGCAAACCTCCGACCAATACACTTCTCACGTCATCTCCACTACGTCTCCCTGAGGTAAGAGCCAGAAAAGTAGACTTGCCTTTCCCTGAATCAAGGTTCTCAAAGGCTTTGAGGAACACCACTTGCTCATCGTTGTCAAGACTTGACCAGAACTCATGGTCACATCGTCCAAGCAGAGAATGAAGACGAGAGACCGCACAGACAATATTCCTTGTAATGATACCAACGTCGATTTCTTTGCCGTCGTCTGTGCTATGTTGCTTCTTTTTGCCTGTGCTAGGTTGCTTCTTCAAGTGCTCTAAATGGACGCAAAGAGAAACAGCCACCATGAACAAGCTACTTGGCTTCTCGAGAAGAGGTTCAGCTACTTGTTCCTGAGATTTTCCTGATTTCTTCCCACTTAATTTATCAAAATAATGCTTCAGGAGGCGGCATGATATACTTCTCAACCATTCGTGTGGGTGCAACAACAACTTAAACACCATTTTCCATATATCCTGAAAAATAAATAAAAAATGAATGCTCCAATCAGCTTTTTTAAGATTCAATGATTAACAATAGACTAGAGTTATTATAGCAATCGTACCTCTAAATCTTTTTTGAAAGTGAAGTCAGGAAAATGATTGAGCATCTTCTCTATCATAACCAGAGAGTAGTATGCTTCCTTCCAAAAAGGAGGAGCACTTTCTTCCTCAACTGTATCTTGCAACTTTACAGCAGACTCCAAAATCGTTTTAGCCTCATGCAATAATCTACTGCGGATATGCTCCGGAAATTTATCCTTCTTGGCTTCAATGAACAATCCCAGTACCTGCACATGCATCCAACAAAAAAATCAAGCTTTGTGTGACGCAATGTGAAGTTACAAGTTAAGTTCCTTGCTTTCTGCGGAATCTGGTATTCTAACATATATATGCACCACCAGAGAAAATTATATACCTGTGCTGCTTTAGCCTGTGAGCTCCCTTGCTTATACCAACCCAGACAGAGGTCAAGACTTGAACTATAATCACTCATGCGACCTATCACAAGTTTTATCGCAACACAAATCTTGCGCAGCAGTTTTTTATCTGGTTCTATTTCCAAACGATCAGCAAGCACGGGAAACAATCTCTGAGACAGCTTGTCGAGATCAGGGTTTGAGAGTTTCTTGATAAGTTCTTGAAGAGCGTCGAGAACTGAATCTCTTCCATCTGAATATTCATAGCTGAAGGAGGAAAAAACTGAGTTACTACTATTTCAAGAAAAAAAAATAAGAGGCCAAATTTTCAGAAAGCTTAGTGCGCATACATACCTCAGACTGTTTAGCAGAACGCTGAAACATCGCTCTAGGAGTTTCTTCTCATTATGGACCAAAAATCCTACAAGTATCTCTCTGCAAATCTTGCGGGTTGATTCATCCTGATGCGTTATCATCAACTTTGTAACCTGATCTGCGACATCATATATCTTTGGATTCGTTTTCACAATGGCCTTGAGAAGTGACAGAGAAGCAACGGACGAATCCGATTCCAGGTCAACAAAGATAGGGAACTGAATCAACATTTTCAACTGCTCAGATGATAAACTGAGATTTTCATTGCCGATAAGAGCTTTTAACAGCTTAATGCATGACTCCAGAAGAGGACTCTTGGAACTCATTGCAGACACAGACGCTGCGATGTTCAACACTGCGGCTTTCACTTTACCTGCTTCAGACTTGAAAGAAGGCAGTTTCAACCTCATCAGTGCAGTGAAACATCTAACGGATGAAGATACAACATCTTCATACTTGGAGCTCAAGCAACCAACAAGTAGTCTGACAAACGGATCCAACCTCGACACCAGCTCTTCATTAGCACTGTTTGGTTGGATTTTCTTCAGCCTGCTGTGCAACAAGTCCAGAGCAAACACGGTAATAAGATGCGGACATGACTTGGAACCAGAAGTCTCTTGAGTATCTCTCGACTTCCTTCTCTTTTTCGATGGTTGAGAAGACGCTTGGTCTCCAAGACCACTCTTGTTGTTAATACCATCATCAACACGGTCATAGATAAAACAGAACAGATCTTTTTGATCAACGGATGGATTGTTTTCAATACCAGCTGCAATATTCTTTAACATCTCCTCCAGCTTTGATTTTAAAGCTGAAGTCATGGGCCTCTGCAGCTGATCAGTGACTATAGAAAGCAACTTCAACGAATGGCTTCTGAACGTTACGTTTTCAGCAAGCAATCTCAGAGTATCAGGCGACTTGCGTTTTCTACTCTCTATCTTCTTTGATACATATTCTCTATCCGTTTTCTGTTCATCAACGTCTCCAAGGATATCGGCTTCAACGACATCAAGGAGATCTTCCAAACAGTGATCCAACTTCTCACCCGTAGGGTTGGGCAGGCACTTGGATAAGATGTGATAAACAGTGTATCCCAACACATGCACCTCAGATCCTTTTCTTAATAGAGAAACTAGTTTTCTAACGAAAAGTTGCAAGTTATCTTCTAGCCCAAGTTCCTCCAAACAAGCAACGAGAGCCTTTCTTGCTTCATCACGTGGCTTTTGCACCGGGTCCCTCAAATATTTGGAGACTTTAGAAACTATAGAATCTAGATTTGAGTCCATTCTGTCTTTTGGGAGTAGCTTTAGAACCTTCACCGCAGCTACATAGCCGTTGACATGAACACTATCGGTTTCAGAATCCATCAGCTTCTGTATCTTGGGGAACAAGGTTTTCTCGAGACAAACCCTAATCTTGTCTTGTACGTAACCATCTTCTGCGAAATGAAACTTGTTTAGAATCGAGCAGACGAGATTCATCAGACGCTTTCTCTTCTCGGTATGCTTCTCCATCTCACGGAAACACCGATTTAGTAGAGCGTAGTAAGGATTCCAACTCATATGAGCAGACACGGATGCAAGGGCTTCTGCACATGCATCATGGACATTTTGACCTTTACCATCTTGTCCATCAAGAAACATGTTGAAAAAGACTGAGATCAAAAGCTCTCTCACTACGCCCTGCAACCCCCAAACAGCAATTGGTCAGAAGTCCATTGAAACTACAAAAAATAGTATTTAAACAATCTAATAGACGCAAAGAGATCACCTCAGGGAGACTGCTAGTGCTGTCTTTGATCACCTTCGCGAAATTTTTAATCGCCCTTGCTCTACGATGTGCCTACAATACAACATTCAAAAGAAATAAATTCTTCGTAACGTTTCAATCATCTTTCATAAGCTTTCACCATAAGGTGATTCATCCTCACCACAACACAAGTACAAACTCTGAAGGAGTCATATGATAAAAATGGCTTACCTGAATGCTAAAGACGTTTTTAAAGAAATCATCTTCGTCGTTTTCAGAGCCTAATAAAGGTCTGAATGCAGCAAGATTCCCTGAATCTGGAAGTTCCATCACCATTTTACGTATCAAAAGAATCTCCTCCTGCAGCAGAATTATTCTTTTCTTTAGAATCTTTAACGCAAAGAAGATAGCCAACTTCGTCGTATCCATCTTAAGAAAGGGTCAATGTACCTCTCCACTAGAAATTCCTCTGTTCACTGAATCTCCAATGTGTTTCAAAATAAAATTATTCATAATCCGCAACACACGATCTCCTGTCCATCTTGCAACAGATCTTGAAACATCTTTGCCAATGTCAGAGCGAGCTGAAGCCTCTTGGCAAAGTATGGAGGCTGAAAACTCAATGAAAGTGAACAAGAGGTTACGTGCGCAGTACTTTAACGTAACTTCTCCTGATGATATGTAGTATAGACTCTGTGAGAGAATGATCATCATGTGCTGCTCCGAGGATTTGTTAAAAAAATCCGCATCAATTTTCCCGTAAGCATCAACTATCTTTTCATAGTCAAGCTCATCAACTTCCATGGGTGAAGTTGCATTCATATCGCTGACGCATTTGGCCTATAAGATTACAGCAACCAATAGTTTTGTTAAAATCTCAAATGCAAAAACAAAAGGAGAAGGAAGTGACTCAAGATTCAAACAGAGTCGTGAAACTTACCACTAGATTCAGAGAAAAGTCGATTTTTGTAAGAGATTCAAGAAGGTCACAAATGCATAATCTTAGGCCAAGATCAGCGTCAACAAGCAGAGGAGATACTTTATCTATAATTTTGCTGGTACTCTCGCTCCCAAGCAACGATGTGATGTCCTGAATGGCTAGCAAAGCCTCACGATGAGTATCTGCAAAAAAAAAAAAACAATAACACAGTCACACACATGCAAGAGACATGAATATCAGATCTAATTTTTAACCAAAAGATGAAATGAGTAAACCATATATACCAGAATATTTCACACGTTTATCCAAGAAAGAAAGCAAGACATCCAAATACTTCATAACATGAGATTCATCTCGGATGTGCTTCGACAATAGTTTAAGAATCTTAATCTCTCTTTCACCATGATACTTCCTGAGATCATAATTAACACTTTTTTTCTTTAGAAGAGAGAAAAAAAAAAAAAAGACGAAAATATGTAACCTAAGTCTGTTCATTTACAAGAAGCCTTACCTTTTCAAAATATCTTCACGGAAAAGAGAATGCAAGCTGTTAATCAATGCCTCTAAATATGGATCCAAGATTCCTTTGAGCATATGGTCATCGTCATCATCCAAGTCATTCTCAAGACTGAGCAGATTCTTTATGAAACTCAAGGCAGAGGACTTAATAGCTTCTGAAGCTGTGGTGACTGTTAGAATTGAGAAAATGTCTGGAACAAGAGACTCTTCTCGACACAAGAAGGTGACGAGATTGCGGCTTTTACTCATTGACAAGAAGCATGAGAACAATGAGCTTGGATTCTCACTGCTCGAACCCTCCTGCTTAAAACTCTTGATCAACGGATTCACCGCTGAGAAGAAGAGGTCCCAGAACTCAGAGCCAAGATCACAATCCTCGTACTTTTTAAGAACATGAGCAATAATCTTCAGACACAAAGATCTCAGCTCCTTAAACTGCTTTAAATCAGCCTACACACAGAAAAAAAAAACCAAAAAAATGTATCAGACAAGATAAAAAAAAAAAAAATGTTTTGTTGTGGATAGATAACCCTAAACAGCAGCAAGAACCATTTTACCTTCGTTGAGACACTCTCTTTATCAATGGTGCTTTCTTCATCGATGTTTGGAGCATAGTTTACCAATAGCCGGACAACACACCCCATCAGAAAGTCAAGAAATGGTCGGACATGGAATACATCGAAGACTTCAAGTACATGTTGTATGACATGAAGAAAACCAGATTTCATCTTCCATGATAAGGTCGAAAGAGTATCAACGTTGAAGTATTTCAGGAAATTCGACTTTTGGAAATACTCCAGAGAGCATTTCCCTGAGCTCCAAAACAAGTCTGTTGTTTCCTCTGATATGATGTTCAATGGCTTCATCAACAAGGCAAAGAACAGGGCAAGTTCATTAACATCCAGCTGAGATATAACGACAAGAACCGCCTCCCTGTGACAGATACTTGTACGCTGCCAACAAAAGAAAAGTGTTAGGATCTAAATGAAGTAAACTGAAAAATAAAAGTATATATTGTAATATTATGTTACCTTACGCGAAGCTGAGTCTTTTAAATTCCTAACTTTTGGCATAAGGATCCTAATTACAAGACAAACGAAATGAGATCTGTGAGCTTCTTCAATGTCCTTGGAGAAGTCCCAAGTCGCAAGCTCTTCTCTCAGTTTTTTTGATATGATCAAATTCTCCAAACGCTTGCGGTGTGGGAGTAAATAGTCGTTCCACAACACAAGGCATTCTAGGACGCTCGTTTGTATTTCAGCAACATTATCGTCCAAGAACCTGTTTTGCAAAACGTCGTTTACAAATTGACTAAAACGAGACGACCTCGGATTCTTCATCAGCTTCAGTAAAGTCAACCATTGTGTAAACAAACCCTTCCACTCCTTTCCATTATAAGCTTCGCCATTAAATAATCCGACCCTGAAAGATTAGGAGAGAGAGAGAGAGAGAGACTTGATGATGATGACAACAGATGAACTAAATTACTCCTTGAGAACAAAAAGATATAGAGACATGATTTACCTCAAAGGATCCTCTTCGCTCTTGTATCCCATAAATTTCAAAAACAAAGGAAGAATATCAGAGGCTCGAGACTGAGCAACAGTGGGAACTTTCTGTATGGTCTTAAGCAACAGAGATACAACTTCTCCAGTATCTGTACGTTGAAAAAGCCAAACATCAGAGTTGTAAAGAAGAGAAGAAAGAATAACATAGAGATGCAAAATATTGGTAAAAATAGCGAAAAAAAACCCTACCAGTATGCTTCTGTGAAGTTCTGTAGTTTTCATCCTCGCTATGATTGTGGAGTGCTTCAAAATTTAGTTGGCACTGACCTATATAACGAACAAAACCATTCCACACGGCTCCTGTGTGATTCTTGATAAGAACCGCAAGGCAATCAGATGCTGGCTCCCATATTCTGGAAAATCGATTGTGAAATATTCCTATAATTCCATTGAATACAAGAGGCACATACGCCTCGTGCATCCTGCCATCAGAGAGATCCGTTTGTATGCTAGTAATCGATCTGCTCAACTCCATTTCGGTCGATACTGTGAGAAGAGACTCTTCGACTGTTTTCAGTAACTGAAGCGCCTGTGGTAATTTGAAAAGAATTGTATTAGTTGTGACGATGATAGAGCGCAGAGGTTAACAGTCATATAGTTGCTACTCACATTCGCTTTAGGAAGAGACTTGTGAACCACGCTAGTCTTCAGTTTCTTCTTAGGAGGAGGATGTTCTTCAGAAGATGGATTACAAGACAGAGTCTCGAAATGGCAAAGGATCCTTAGAGTCAGAAGACGGATGTCTTTGTTTGAGTGACGCAAGTTTTCAGAAAAGATGGTGAAGGCATCTTCGGCTTTATCTGCTTCAAGTTCTGGATATGCATTAGGGCTACTACCATCATTTGCTAATACAGGCCTGCGGATTACAGTGGATCAGCGTTTACCATCACAGAGTCATCAAATACAAAATGGAGAATTAATTGAATAACTCACATGACCACACGATCCAAATAGTCAGCCACGGAAGAGAGCACTTGTACACATGTCTTGTACTGTTTAGCAAGAAACAAAGCTTCCTCTACATCACTGCGGTTGATTCTTCCAGGAGAAGAGAGTTTATGACATGACCCCCAAAACAGCACCAAGCATGCTCTGCCACATCAACTCTTGAGCACTACAAGTGTTTACTGAAAAAGATTTAATAAAAAGAGTTATGATAATTTCTAAAAATTAAGACCATAATCAAGAACAGCAGTATAAAGTTGATGTGGCATGGTAAAAGCTTACCAGCTGAGTCGGCCAAGTGCTGTTTAAGAGTATTCTTAAAGCAAATCAGCAATGATGAATCCACTTTAAAATAGGGAAAACAATTCACAGCTCCACAAACAGCAGCAAACTCAGCCTCATCGATTTGAGCTAACCCTGTATTCTCTATATACGTTTGAGTTTTCTTGATTTTCTCTTCCAAGAACTCATGAATCCTCTCGACTGATCCATCTATAATTTTCACCTTGTCGTGACTTGTTTGCTGCTTCTTACAATACGATAGTAACAGAGGAATCACCTCCTCCGTAGACTCAAAAATCATATTGTTGATCCAACTGCATGCATAGAAGCCAAGCCAGTCACTAATGACATATATAAAAGATAAGACAGATTTTAAAGAGGTTAATGAAAAAAAAAGAGTCTTGCCTTAATATATTACTTGCAAAGGCTTCCACTATTAATTTATCCTTCTCTAGCAACTCCCGCAAAAAACTCAGCAAACTGCAAAAGATTGCATGATGAATCATAAGGGGAGAAAAAAAAAACAAGAAGAATTAACATTGAAGAGTATTACAAGATACCTTAAACTCTTCAACGAAAAAATGTGGGCCCATTGCGAAGCAATGGATTCCACTTCATTGAAGTCACTGAGTCCGTCAATGGTGCATAACATCAGTGCCAGAACTTTATCGAGAACATCAGAGGAATCCACCAAAGTTGGCACAATCTGGCTCACGAGTCCAACCAAACATGTGTAGTCTGTTACATACATTGATGACAAGTAAATTAGTATCGGCGACACGATCATGCAAATGTATGTTTACATAAGAAGTAACTCACCATAAACCTTGAGACCTTTCTCAACCCTAACAGCTGAAGTAAGCACAATCAAGAGCCTGGTCAAATGAGCTGAGTTTTTGTTTTTAATTGATTGTTTTGTTGCTATATACAAGCAGTTCCACATAACACTTAATTCTTCTACTTTGAAATCCTCGCATAGTCTTTGCAAGGTTGAACTCACAACTTCAACTGTACCACCAGAACCTACAATGGGATACGATACCATGATTAAAAACACACTAGACTTTTAGATAAAAAAAATTCTAACATAATGTTTTAAAAAGAGGACTTGCCCTGAGGAAGATTATCACAAAAGGATAATGTTGAATCTCTCAGCAAGAAACTCAAAACCTGTCCAGCTTTAGAATGGAGACTCACAGAGGTACCCCTCATAAGATGATATAGTAGATTAACTCCTCCACTTCTTTTCAGTGGATCTGCAACTTCAGAAAGGATCCTCTTGATCTCTGTAGTGTTCATGAGAGAGAGAATCAACTGGACTGTCCCTATACATAGACATGAAAAAACAAAAAAGAACTGAAAAAGCAATTCACATCACCTATTTTGAGTTGCTTATCACGTGCCGTCCTCAACAAAAATGACATCGAAGGTGACATAAGTTTGCTGATACATTCATTGGGGTAATACCTCAGCTCCAATGTATCCCTACATCAAATAAAAAAATAGTATTAAAAACAAAACGGATTTCATCAAAATGACCTTATCATAAACATTTCATCGATGTAATTATGTACTTACCTGAGAATACCTTCGATGTCGCATACGAGATACTTCTGCAGGTCCCTCACTATGCTTGACCATGATACCATTATCTGCATGAAAGGAAAGGACCAAAATTCAGCAACAGATAAAATTTAATGAGTATAAAATATGTTACACAAGAGCAAAAAACCTGCTCAATAATCTCTGGATCTTTCTGACCACCATTTTTCAGGAGAGTCACTAAGGAGTTAACAAACCGTGGAAGGAAGCTAAAAAAGAAATATAAGAAATCAACTGGTTAGAAAATATATAGAAAAGAACTGATCAAAGAGACAACAAGTGAAGCTGAAAAGAATTAAAAAAAAAAAAGTTTGAAGAATACTCACGGAATAAAGTCATCCAAGAGATCTCTGGATAAAGCAGCAATCAAACTGCGCATGCAACAACAAAATAAACATCTTTTTATTTGTACACAGCAAAAGATTAAACAAGTGCATGCTCTCAGAAATGGAAAATTTATTAAAAAAAAAAGTTAGCAACTACAATTTTTGACAAGATTATAGCAAACCTGAGAAAGGCTTCCAGAGAGAATCTTGCTTTCAATTGTAATCCAGAGACAAGTTTTGTGAAGATTAATTCTTTTTGCGATAAAACCAACGGCAGAGTCTGAACAAAGGGCAACATTTCTTCATAAAATGAAATAAAATCTGCTGCTGTATTCAGTTCCTGCATTTAACCAAATGAACCAAATTTACTCTCTCTCTGAAATATATGTATGTGATAGTTTATCATCATTCAAAGCTCATCGTAAATCAACTTATTGCAGATAATTATGCAAAGCTAAAGTCAAAAGACTATAAGCTGGTTTTTCTTTAGAGTCTTTAACATGACACCAGCATATAGTAAGTAGGATACAACACTACAAGACAAGACAATAGAAGAAGAAGAAGAAAGATTAAAACTTTTAGAAAAAGATCAAAAACATACCCTCCATTCTACGAGGCAATCCTTGAGAAACGTGGAGCCCTGTGAAGGCTCATCCTTCACCTTATCGAGGCTCCTAAAGACATTGAGGACTTTGTTTTCAATGTCACTCATTCTCTCAAGCAAGTTCTTGAACTGCATCCCAAAGTAAACAAATCATAATTAGAGAGCGGCACCAAAGAAGATACCAAATTATTCTGGAAGCGGTAAGCAAAACGAGAAGACGAACCACAAATCTCTTCCTTCCATGGGAGTTATTGAGCGACTTGACAGCTCGAGAATCAGCCGGGGTCGCCATGATCACCGCCCGATACTGTTAGGGTTTCGAAAACGATTCGGATCCCGAGGTCTTCTCTCTCTCTCTGCGTGTCCTAAAACACCAAAACCTCAGAATTTAATCCAGACTAAACAATTTGTGAAGATGATGTACTTTACGATCGACACAGACCTTTGGAAAAGAAAACAACACAGAGGGATGCGAGAGAGAGAGAGAGAGAGTACTGCCGCGAGGTTGGTTTTCTTTTTTAATTATTAAGGGTTTTAGCGAGTGTTCTCCTTTTTAATTATTAAGGGTTTTAGCGAGTACAGTGTTGTATTGTTTTGTCTCCCATGCCATTCTTTATTCTTGTTTCTCAACTCTCACATATGTTTAAATCAGAAAATCACTTATTGAATCTGATGATGATTTAAGAAAATTGGTCAAGTGCTTGGGAATGTCTCAAATATTGTGAATCGTCTCCAATATATTCGATGCTAGCTAATATATACATTCATGACTTTCTAACATCTCTGTATGCAAGTAAAACATAGATCATTTCAAAAACTCCATGTTATTTAAAATTAAATAACTTTAAAATCTTTGTACATTGAACCAATTTGGAGTTTATGAGTATATCAAAATCTAAATCTTATCAATAACATAGAATTTGAAAAGACTTTTTAAAATTCATGTTTGCTTGTGCTATGTGAACGGGAATAGAATTGGAGGATATTCGACGTTACAGCACCGACCAAGTCCAAGGCCGAGATCTGTACGTTTGTTATATCATCAAATAACTACTGTTGGGATCGTTTCGATAACGAATCTTGATACTTTGTTGTTCAAGGGAAGAGAGAAGAAAGATGAATAAAAAAGAAGCGGATCATTGGGAGACTGATTCTTTATCTGAATGTCAACAGTGACCACTCCTGTAGAGACTAGTAACCAAGATGTGACGTTGGTGGGGATTGACGAGTTCGGAATCTGGATTCATGGACTTTGACCTCATCGCCCAAGCCACCGACAACTTCTCAGTTGCTAATCAAATAGGTGAAGGTGGTTTTGGGATCGTTTACAAAGTGATAAATCATTAACCCTAAATAATAAAATAAAAAAGGTACGTAGTAGATTTTGTTTTTACTTACTCAAATTCGTCCGTCGTGGCAGGGGAGGTTGCTTGACGGGCAAGAGATAGCGATTAGACGACTCACGCAGCTGTCAGCTCATGGGATTCGAGGATTTGAGAAGGAGATGAGACTCATCAAGGTGCTTCAGCACGTAAACTTAGTCCGCCTGCTTAGTTATTTCTATGGCGACCAAGAAAAGATTCTGGTCTCTGAGTTGCTAGAAAACTCAAATATGAGACTCATCTCTAGACATGGTAAGATCCGGTGATGGCATCATATCCTCCAGAGCAAGTGATACGGTGCTTGTAAATCGAGTTGCTGTGCGTGGAAGAGAATCCAGAGGACAGACCAACCATGTCTTGTGTGGTTTCGATGCTCGGAAGCGAATCAGAGATAACCCATCAGCCTAAGTCGCCTGTCGAGACTGGTTCGTCATCCAGAGCAGCAGCTGAATCGTCCTCGATCGCTCAAGTGACCGATCTATTCAAGCTTGCTAATTTCGGTTTTAGCAAACATTGGAGACTTTATCTTCTTCTACGTTTATGACATCTAAACTGTTTAAATTATCTTGGTTTGAGATTCTAAGGAAGTTCATATACTGTACCTTTTTTTAAAATGTTAGTAATCGAACAAAACCGAATAAAACCGAAATAAACCATTTCACAATCAAGTTGATCAAAATTATTTCCGGCGGCGACTGATAATGGTTGGTGGCTTATATTTAAAAATAATTTTAATTCCAATTTTTTTGGTTTGTGAAGTTTGCCTTCACCAACTCCTTCCAAACTTTCTCTCCGCCACTCTCGTTTACAAATTCACTTCCAAAATCTCTCGACACTCTTATTAATAAATCTCCACGCACCAACCCACCTTCTCCAATGTCGACTCAGAGCTCCGCCTCCGTATTTTACTCCGCCGCCGCCATCGCTAGAGGCGAACCATACCCAGATTCAAAGAAGCTCATCGGGTCGATTCCTTTCCAACCACTTCCTCTCTCCCTCTCGTGAGTTTCCTCTCCATTACACAATCTTCAATTTCGTGACTTTCGATCCAACTGTCTTAGAAATCTGATTCATTCCTTAATAAAATTTGAATTTTTATTTATTTATTTTGGTCTCGCGTCTGTGGCGTTTAGGTGTTGTAAGTCGGGGAAGATTTCATCTAGGATCCGTGCCATGGCCAAACCAAATGATGCAGAGTCGACTCTGTCATCGTCGGCTTTATCAGTAGATACTTCACTTAGCCCGCGCGTTAAATCCTTAAAACCTTCCAAGACTATGGTCATAACCGATCTTGCAGCCACTCTTGTGCAGTCCGGTGTCCCCGTTATCAGACTAGCAGCAGGAGAACCCGATTTCGACACACCCAAGATTGTATCCGAGGTTGTTAGTAAAGACATTTTCTCGAACTATGTTCTGTCTCTGGTCTGGTCTCTTTTGATTCAATTGTTTCCATATAGGCCGGGATCAGTGCCATTAGAGATGGTTTCACTAGGTATACGCTAAATGCTGGTATCACGGAACTTAGAGAAGCTATATGTCGGAAGCTTAAAGGTAATAAAGGGGAAGAAGAAGAAGAAGAAAAACACTTTTTTTGGCTTTGTGATTCGATTATGTCGAGAAATGGTGTCAACAAAAACGTTTTGTGTTGTCAGAGGAAAATGGACTGTCGTATGCTCCGGATCAAATCTTGGTTAGCAATGGAGCTAAGCAGAGTATCTTACAAGCAGTTCTTGCAGTTTGTTCTCCTGGAGATGAAGTACTTATTCCCAAAACTTTCTCTTTCCAACTTTTTTTGTTTGTTTGTGATTTTGTTTTACAATAGTGAAATGTGTGTGTTTTTACTAGGTTATAATCCCTGCACCGTATTGGGTGAGTTACACAGAACAGGCGAGATTAGCTGATGCAACACCGGTGATAATTCCTACCAAGATCTCTGATAACTTCTTGTTGGATCCAAAGGATCTCGAGTCGAAACTGACTGAAAGATCTAGACTTCTCATCCTCTGTTCTCCTTCGAACCCTACTGGATCCGTTTACCCCAAGAGTTTGCTTCAAGAGATTGCAAGGATCGTTGCTAAGCATCCAAGGCTCCTGGTATCTAAAACTCAAACTCCCATCTTTGTTAATTTGCTTCTTGTCTTTCGCTAAAAAAGAGAAAATAAAAACTTTCATTTTCTTTTGTAGGTGATATCAGATGAAATATATGAACACATCATCTATGCGCCAGCAACACACACAAGCTTTGCTTCTTTGCCACATATGTATGAAAGAACTTTGACAATAAACGGTTTCTCAAAGGTACAAAGTTTGTATCTATCTTTTGCTCTAAATCTAATGTCAAGAAGAGATTGATTTATTAGCTGATCATATGATATGAAAAAGGCATTCGCAATGACGGGTTGGAGACTTGGATATCTCGCTGGTCCTAAACATATAGTAGCAGCTTGCAGTAAATTACAAGGCCAGGTATATATATATATGTCTCTCTAAAAATCTTTATGATAAAAATTCAGCGATCATGTAATGAAATCGGGTCTGTTTCAGGTTACTTCAGGAGCTGGTAGCATTGCTCAGAGAGCAGGTGTTGCTGCACTCGGGTTAGGAAAAGCCGGAGGAGAAACTGTAGCTGAGATGGTGAAAGCATACAGAGAAAGACGAGACTTCTTGGTTAAAAGCCTCGGTGAAATCGAAGGCGTCAAGATCTCCGAACCTCAGGTGCTTCTTCTTCTCTTGTTTATCTTTGAAGCTATTTTTACTTTTGCTAGTTTCTTCTTCCTGTTCTTTGATTGTTTTGTTGGCATCATTTCACTTGCAGGGAGCTTTTTATCTCTTTATTGACTTCAGTGCATACTATGGATCAGAAGCTGAAGGCTTTGGTCTGATCAGTGACTCATCGTCTCTTGCATTGTACTTTCTTGACAAGTTTCAGGTAAACTCCTCCACCAAAAAAAAACAACTATTTCAAAAGCGTTTCCACAATTGAAACGCAAACGCAACACTATGCATTTTATAGGTTGCTATGGTTCCTGGTGATGCTTTTGGGGATGATACTTGTATTCGGATATCTTACGCCACATCTATGGACGTTCTACGAGTTGCGGTTGAGAAGATCAGAAAAGCCCTTGAGCCACTTCGAGCCACTACCTCTGTGTAACGGTACAGACATAATAATGTGTTTTGGATCGTTTTGATGTTGTAAACTATATATATCCACTTGGTTTTTCTTCAATCCAATAAAAAAACTTTGTTTCTGTTCTGTATGATTTGTTCTTACCTTGAAGAACATTTTTGTTTTATTCTAATATCATTGACTTTCATGGTAAATGATTTGTAAGAAATAAATATCGATTGTGTTGTTGTTTATATATATGATGATGATGATGACTAAAGAGTTAGATGTGGAGACTATGTGAATATCATTATCAAGTTGAATCTCGTATTTAAAGATTCTGAAAAATAATTAGTAACTATTTAGGTTAGGTTTGGTAATTCATATCATCATATTTCAAAGTGGAGATATGTATATATATATATATATATATAAGTCTTTACTCAGTTTTTCTGCTCTCTCCCTTCTCGCACAGCTCTTCCTTCTCCCGTCGTCGTCGACCATTTGATTACAGTAAGATTCACTCTTCTTCAACTAGATTCACTCTACTTCAGAGAGATCTCTGTATCTCTGTATCCCGGTTAGTCCATTTGGTTATCCATCCATCTCTGGAATTTCAACTATCCCTTACTGAAACAGAAGTCATATACAAGCGCATGCTGTGAGATGTGAGGACGTGGGAACATCATAATCCTCCTCCGGCTACAATAATGTTCATGTCCGATTATGTGTAGTCGAGATAGTATTGCCCGGGGACAGCAACTGACAAAATACAACCGCTTATTCATATAGGCCCTCACAAAATGTCAGTCCTGGTCACTTCTGCAGAGTGGCTCTGGGAGAGCTTACTTGCAGTTGCAGGTGTTTGTTTGCCCTCTCATCCACTACTGTTTGAAACCTAACTACCCTGTTTCTGAGCTTTACTTAAGTCTTTTCTTTTCCACTTGTATATCAGAGACAAGAAGACGCCTTCTTGACAAGTGCAGTGGAAGGGGACCAAAATGTTTGATTGCAAAGTGTGCAGTGGAAGGGGTGAATGTACGACCAATATATACATTCATGACTTTCTAACATCTCTGTATGCAAGTAAAACATGTAGATCAATTCAAAAACTCCATGTTATTTAAAATTAAATAACTTTAAAGTCTTTGTACATTGAACCAATTTGGAGTTTCTGAGTAAACTAAAACCTATTAAAACAATATACAAAGACATACTATATATACTACAGAGATTTTTTAGAACGACATACATAAAATTGTTAAAAATAATATCAAAATTTAAATCTTATCAATAACATAGAATTTGAAAATACTTTTTAAAATTCATGTTTGAATAACATAAGATTTAAAAGATTACTACAAATCCACTTAAATCTACCCATGATTGAATAACACAACATAAAAAAAGCAGAGACAAAATCTCTATTGTGTTTCCGCTTCATTTAACGTTTCTGCTGGAACACAAATATATCATAGTATAGTAAACCAGCTCTCGCAGCTCTTTCCGGTTGCTCTGCAACTTCAGAAAGGATCATCTTCCTCCCTGTAAATATATATGTTCAGGAGAGAAGAATTAGCTGGAACTCTACTGTTCCTAACATAAATGCAAATAATAAAATGAAAAGCAATTCATCACCTTTTTCAAGTTGACTAGCGTGTGAGATCCTTAAAAAACATGACATCGATTTTGACATTTTTTCGTTGATACTGTCATTAGGGTAGTACCTCAGCTCCAAAGTATCCCTTCATCAGAGCAAATTAAAACATTAAGCAAAAATGAAATCTATAAGATGAAGAGAATCCTATATACTAATGTTAGGCATGAATATTTCAAATCCTAAATTCTGGCCAACAACAACAACTTTAACAAGAAAAGAAACTAATCAACACTTTATTGGGCTGATTCAAGCTGCCAGTAGCAAACAAGGCCTAAAAGAAACCAAGAAAGTACAAGAATCCTCTTTACCACAAAACTGGATAAAACATGCATTCCTGGTTAGAATGGAGTTCTGTATTTACCTGAGAATACCTTCGATGTCGAGTTTGAGATAAAACCTTAGGGTTTCCATTATTTTAGACCATGATGTGAATATCTGTATGAAACAAAAGGTCCAAAACTGAGTGAAAAGAAATAATATATCAAATTAAGCATTGTCCTGAGTGTGAAATATGTTGTACAACAGCAAAAACCTGCTCAATGATCTCTGGATCTTTCTGACCACCATTCTTCAGGAGAATCACTAATGAGTTAACAATCCGTGGAATGAAGCTAGACAAGAACAAATAGACAAAAGAAACTGGTTGGAAACATAGACAAGGACTGATCAAAAGAGACCGCAAGTGAAGCTCAAGTAGTTGACCCTAAGATGAAAGTAAAATGCAAAATCTGCCAAATATCATCAGTTAAAAAAGAAAAAACTTTCTACTGTTATGGAGCAGTGTCACGTATACATGTGAGACGACGACAGTAAGTGACCCTATATGGACATATGATCAATGTATTATGCAAATACAAGCCAAGGATGGGGGAAAAATTAGTTATAACATTTTCTAAGCTATGCATTATGGGTGTGGTAAGTAACTAAATCAATTCCAGAGTTCCAAGCTTACTCTCTAGGCATCTTGAAACAATTCACTGGCCTTTCTGAAACATTTACTTATTTCCACTAAGTTATATTGTTACATTACTCTGTTTTCAGAGGATGCTAGGCACAATGTTATAAGGGTGCAGCAGCATCGACTGTGACTAAGAATTATTATCATAAGCACTTTCAAAAACCATAGTTGAAATGAATAAAAAGTTTTAAGGAATACTCACGGAATAAAGTCCTCCTTGAGATCTCCCGATAAAGCAGCAATCAATCTGTACAACAAAGAAACAAGAAAAAAAGTTATATTTATACTTCTCTAGAGAAAAACAAGTTAAAGACCACAATCTTAGCTCCTCTGGCAACAACATTCTTGGGATATCAAAGATGTCGGAAGAAAAAGAAATGATTAAATTGTGATTCCAAAGTTACACTGCCTGAAACTGAGTGTCCCTGATAAACGGAGAAGCATGGACCAAGATAAACAATATCCAACCATAACAATGATGTACACGCAGATGGTCCCAGGATCAAAGGAATGAGCGGAAAATAGCAAACCTGAGGATGGGTTCGAGAGAGATTCTTGCTTCCAGTTGTAATCCTGAGACAAGTTTTGAGAAGATGAAATCTTTTTGCAGCTCAATCAACTTCACAGTCTTAACACCCGGCAACATTTCTTCATAAAATGAAACAAAATCTGCTGCTGTGTTCTGTTCCTGCATTTAACCAACCAAATTTAGTATCTCAAGCAAAAACAGAAACAAACTAAAGAGACATACAGAGTAGTTCGGCGAAGTAGCGATTAGCCAAATCTCTTTGCGGTATCTTAATTAAAAACAAATTCATGATTCAACCATCACAATCAACTTCCAAAGTTAAAACTAGAGACTACAACAGATTTGCTTTAGAGTCTTAATCTGAAACCAGCATAGCGAGAGTAGGATACAACAGTAACAAGACAAGAAGAATTAAGAAGAAAGATTAAAACTTTTAGAAAGAAACTCTTAAGGTGACATGATCAAAAACATACCCTCAATTCTAAGAGGCAGTCCTTGAGAAATGTGGATCCCTGTGAAGGCCTGGGCATCATGAGTATGGAAAAATAGTTTACTCTCGGACAGGGAAGCTTGTAATGCATCCACAAGTAATAAACCACAAACAACCATAATTAGAGAGCACCAAAGAAAAAAGAAAAAGAAAAAAAAGTAAGCCAAAAGGGATAAAACCCAAAACACTTGTCCAGTGAATTTCTCAAAGAATCAAATCGAGAAGACGCACCCGAATTCTACGCAATGGCATTGATACGTTGCGCGACCAAGAATCATTCGGAGTCGCCATGATCACGCCCGGTCAGGGTTTGGACAACTTCGATTCCGAAGTCTCTACAAAAAAGTAAAATTTCGATACACAAAAAAAAAAACCAAAAACGTTACAACTGAATCCATGCTTAACAATTTATTCAATCTATACTAAGATCCTGCACTTTGGGATCGAACACAGACCTTTTGGATTAGATTAAAAAAAAAAAAAAAAGCAAAACTTACTTTTTTCTAGAAACGATATTAACACAGCGGGATACGAAAGCAAGGTTGGTCAAAACAGGAAATTTGAAGTACTTGGCTTTTGCCTTGCCTTGGCGGGGGTAAGCTTATAGACAGAGACAGAGACAGAGAGAGTGCCGCGAGGAAGAAAGGGTTTATACTTTACAACTTTATATAATAGGAATTAGAAGACAAATTTCCGGTTTGATCTACCGATCCGCGGTTCTACAAAGTGTAAACCAAAATGTATTCTTCGGTGCGGTTTTGATTTTTCTTTAAGAGAAGGGTTTAGATTTTTTCAGGTTTTGTCTACTCAATATAGATGTTGATTGAATATATACGAGTATAATATATGGTCAAGACAATGTAGAGCGATTGAACGGTAACCAAGATTATAAAAAAAACTTCACGTTCAATCTATTATCTATCGCACACAATTCGAAAGACAAAACTCACGAAATCAACATTTGGAGTAGTAAGACACGAAATCAACATTTGGAGTAGTAAGACACGAAATCAGCCTTTCATCAAACCAGCCTAGAAAAACATGTCTATATCATACTGAATCATAAGTTGCTCAGCCTCAGCATTGTAAGGTTCCTTTTCAATTTCCGTCATATTTTTCCATTCTTGAAGCTTTTCGGCAATCAAAACATCTGCAGGTCTGCTCTAGTCTGGTTTGGGTTTGGCTTCGTCAGGTTTGGCCTCGGTAGCAGCTTCGTCGTAGAGTTTAAGGAAATCCTCCCTTGAAATCATCATAAGTTAAGGACAGTGTTAACACAACATCGATATGGTAAGTGTTAAAAGACTCACGTATTTTACCACTACTGAACACAGAAAATTGAGGCAATACTTACAAGAACAATAATAAGCCAGTGGCTGCCTTAGCTCCCTCACATCCCTCGTCTCCTTCACCGTCAGATTCGTCATCATCCCCACTTATCAGTATTTCCTGAATACACAAGAACATGTGATTAGCATCTAAACATAAACATAGATACAACCCTTCAAATAACGAATTACCAGTATCCCCATATACTCGGCTATAGTGTTCCTCTCATGCTCCGCCATCCGATTGGTAGCCATTTCAATGCAAGGAAGCTTCTCCTATTATCACAAAACCTGAATGTTAAAAGGATAACATTTCAAACCTGAATGTTAACTAGTTTTGACTAGTTGAGAATTACTTACATGTGGTGTCATGGATTCCCACTTTGCACGGTGTTCGTCGATCGTCATCTGTTCCAAGTGATAATATGAGATACAAAGCTACGATACAACCCAGAATTGAGAATTCATGGCAAGAGAAACTCACACTGGCAGCAAGTTCCTTATCGAAAAAGTACTCGGTATCCCTTCAGATAATAAAGTCAACAAGAGTATCAACACAAAAAAAAATCTCATTAGGATACTATATGCATTATACAGTCAACCGAAAAAGTAGCACAAGATCAAATCCAGAACAATTTTTGACAAATAAACATCAAAATGAGCAAACAAAAGGATGAAACAGATGCGATGCTTACACATAGACTCCGAAGGGAGACAGGACTTGCAAAGATTCCTCAGATGGTGACTCGTCGGGTTTCTCGTCTTTCTTCTGATGGAAATTTTTGTAGGCCTTCAAGTCCTTCTTGTACGCTTCCATCCGAGGATAGGCCACAAGATTGTGAGGAGACCTAGCCTGAAAGATTGTTAAATCCCATGCATCAGACTCACATTAAGAAAGGACAAAAGGCACATCATCTATCTTTCAGAGAAGCGTACATAGTAAGACATGGATTTCCACTTGTCTTTGGTAGCTCCCAGAGCCTTCTCTAGAGTTCTGTCCTTGCCTTTCGCGCGCGTCATGTAAATCCTCAAGAACCGCCCCATGAAAAGGAGGAAGGCAGAAGGTTCCCTTGGTTCACGAGGACTGTTCAAGGACAGCACATCATCACCACGAGCACGACTTGAACACGATCCGAAACCCCGAGATCAAGGAACTACAGACTTGAATCCAAGGCTTGCCTGAATTCTGGAGGCAAATCCATGATCGGTCGATTCTGCAGTCGAAGAACAAACTAGTAAAATAAGAAACGCATTGAAACACTAGGAAAAAACTGAGCGGAGAGATGATTCCGTTCTAAGCCAACACATACAGCAGAAAATCAGCCACAAATCTACCAAACGAGGACCCTAGGGCTTGAAACTGGAGAGACAGAGAGGCGATTCTGGCGAACAAAGTAGAAAAACAAGACCTAGCAGAGAATACGAAATCGCTTAGCGGAGGCTTGAAGCGAACGCATACATTGATCGATCGATAATCAGAAAATGCATAGGGTTTTTTCTTGTTACCTGATCCTAGGGTTCGAAAATGGGAGAGACAGAGCGCGAGAGGAAGTAGAAGGAACCCTACAGAGTTCCGTTTGTGATCGATTCCAGAGGCAATGAAAAGTTCGTTGGAATGGGTTTAGGCGGGAACTGCCACGTCATCGCAGGTTCTAGCGTCCGTAGAAAGCTTCCGTCTGGAGCTTACGACGGCTTCCTGAAGCGAGGGCCCACCACAGATCCGACCCGGTCTCGCTTGCTTACAGTTAGCCCGAACCACTCTCTCAAAAGCCCAACTCAGAACTTCCTTTCTCATTCTCTTCAGTCGCTTCTCTCCCACGGCCAAGGCCAAGGCCATTTTTTTCAAGCAGCAGATCGTATTTTGTTTTGCGACCCATGGAAAAAAATATAAGACAGATAAGAGGAGGAGATAAGCGAGGTCATTTTCGTTTCTGTCTTCAGAGATTCACAGGAATAATTGAGAAACGAGGATGAAAACTAAGAACGAAATGAGACAGAGGTGAGACTTTAGACGGCGGCGTTAGAGAAAGAAGATAAGAGAGTGAGAAAAATAAGGGCTTTCAAAATCGAGGGTTATTTATAGAGAACATAAAGGGTATGTTGTTAGTGTTAACTTTCGGGAAAGCCCATCTTAAAAGCCCATAAAATTTTTGAAAGACTATAAAACACGTTCAACCTAGCACACAATTCGAAAGACAAAACTCACGAAAATATTTGGAGTATTAAAAGCATCTTCAAATGAAACTTTACTACTTGAATATTATCGGTTTTTTCTTGATCATCATTGTAGATTAAGCCAAAACTTAAAAAAATTTGTATTGACCAATTTATTAATCAAAAAAATATTTTTAACAGAAAAATACAATAAAACACAAAACAGAATCTCTACGTGTTTATATATCCTTCCTATCTTGTAAAAAGCCGAAAAGATTTTTTTTCAAAATTCTTATTCTCCTTTTGAGTTTGACCCCAATTTACGTCTATATTCAACATGTTTTCTTTGGCCATGACTAACATCCTCTATGATCTCTCGCTATTTCTGATCTCATTAGAACATAATCTCATAGACTTTAACTATATATAGAGTCACGTAACTACTTCCATCTTATCAAACCTTAACATTTGTTGCACATACATAAACAAGCATCAAAATACTCGGATGTCTCCTAGAGTTCCTATGAACACTTCATTGGGAACATAACTTTATGATGATTAACTGATTACCCATTAAAGTGTTTAGGGGAACACTTGGTTTTGTCAGTTTCGTGGGATTTAGTTTCCAGATTTTTCTTACCTTCTACTGATTTCTTGTACTTCTTCTTATGGAAATAATGCATTAGAGTATTCATAGACAAACACAATGTGTTCCTCAGTATTCAAGTAAATTTTTGTGACATCAAAAAGAATATCATTCTCACGCTCAATCTCAGCAACACCATTCTAAAGATAAAACTCATGAAAACATTTGGAGTAGTCAGAGAGCTAAATAACTCTTTAACAACAAAAACAAAAAAGAGAGCTCGCTAATTTTAGGGAAAAAATACATAAAACCGGCTCGGCGGCTGGTAGCTATGCCCTCCTACCTGCATACATGCATCTGCTTGAGCTTAGCAACTCGGGGTCTAGGACGGCCATAGAGACGGAAGATGATGCGTCAGGTCAGAAGCGCTTCAAATACTGTTTTGTGGCTCTCGGTGGAAGTGTCTGCGGATTACAGTTCATGTGCAAGATCCTCGTCATCGACGGGATCCACCTTCGAGGCAAGTACTCCGGATGCTTGTTGACGGCGAGTGCATAGGATAGCAATTTCCAAATTTTCCCTGTGGCGTTTGCAGTCGTAGATGGAGAAAACGATAAGGCGTGGGAGTGGTTCTTCCAGCAGTTGAAGCATATCGTGCCTGATGAGGGCACTTTGACCTTCGTCTCAGATAGGCATTCTTCCATATATGCTGGATTATATAAGGTAGAAAACATTATAACAGTCTATCATTTTGTATGGCTCGTTATTGTCGAGTAATCGTTCCTGACAAATTTTTGTGCTAACATCCGGTCTGTCAGGAGTATCCAAGGTCGACCCACGGTGCCTGCATTGTGCATCTACAGCGTAATGTGGCGGCTAAGTTCAAGAACAAAGTCTTGGCTGGATTGATCTCCAAAACAGCTCATGCCTACAAAAGGTCGACATTCCACGAGTACTTCGCGGAGATCGAGGGGCTGTCGCCGGAATATACGGAGTACTTGAACATCATCGGCTTCCATCACTGGACACGGTCCCATTGCGACGGCGAAAGGTACAACATCATGACAAGTAACGTAGCAGAGTCTCTAAACACCGCCCTGAAAGAGGCCCGTGAGTTGCTTATCGTATCTATGCTGGAATTCGTCCGCGGAACTCTAATGTCATGGTTCAACAAAAGGAGGGACGTAGTGAGTAACCATACGTCGCCGATGACTCCAAATGTTGGCGAAATCATCCACAGCAATTACGAACGTTCAACGGCTTGGTACGTCATGCAGATCAACAAGGACCACTACAAAGTAAAAATGCGTACAAGTTTATCTTACCATGTGGACTTCCACAACAAAACATGCACTTGCGAGGAGTTTACTGCTCTTAAGATCCCGTGCTGTCATGCTGTTGCGGCCGCTGGTAAAGTAGAGGTCCACCTACCCACAATCATTGCTGCAGAGTACGGCCCGTTCTACTGGCGTCTGGCTTACCATGAGAGTATATATCCTATCCCCGCCATGGACAGTGTGTATGTGGTCCCTCCTGCTGTAGCTGCAATGAAGGTGTACCCACCCAAGACAAGGAGGCCACCAGATAAGCCAAAGCGTAATAGATACCTCTCGACAGGGGAGTATAAGGTATCATATCGTATTGTTATATAGAATATGAAATAGTTCACAAATTGAGATGGTGGTCTATTTACATCTGTAATATTCCTCTGATGTACCAGCGTTCAGGGGAGAAGGTTTTCCGTAAGTGCAGCCGCTGCAACGGGACTGGGCATAACCACGCCTCCCGTAAAATGCCAATGTAATAAAGGAATGTGCAATAAGGTATGTACCCTATCAACCATACGGTCGAACATAATGCTGATATGCTGAACATCAAGTAACTGTTCGCGTCTGGCTTTTGTCATTGCAGTATTGAGCTTCCGATTTTGTCATGTATGATGAAAGCTCAGCGGCTTCGGATATCAGTTGTGTGATCGGAACATAAGTGGCCTTCTTCATCCATTGTATTACATCCACCTCTATCGTCACAAATGAAGGGTAGCATGACCTCATGCGCTGCCTTTGTAATAAATAACTTCTAGGATATACAATTTCTTGTGATTGTAATATCATGAAAACTCTACCCCTACGTGGGGCATGTATGTACTCCGTCTGCCCCTTGCGGTGCAGATATAATGTCAAATTAGTACTATGTTGAAAAATAAGTGTACAAAATTTCCCTATCATTATCTACACTAGACCGTCGAATAGATGTCTAAATTGGACGGAAAGTATTTATGAATATTCAAGGGCCATCATTTGATGTTACCTCCTACAAAGATAAGTAACCGCGTTATATTGTATTATACCGTATAGCACAAATATATTCTAATATAGCGAACCGCACCTATAATAAGATGTAGCAACTCATATGACAGTGCGAATGAATATCTGCGGTTAAGGACTTTAGCTCTAAACACACGGAAATATAAAGCCAGGCTATTATATATCCGAGCTAAATGCAGAATAATAGACAGCAAAACCCATTAGTCACATCCTAATAAATTCAAAAGGCAGTCACATCCGGATACGGCGCCCCAAATAAAGGAAAAAACAACATAAACGTATGTCGATAAAACAGCAGTCACTATGCGTAAACCATATTGTTGTTATGAAAGCAAGATTTTTAAACTCCGACGACACCTACAGTGTTCCAACCTCCCCGGCACAGTGCTCCAGCAGCTTGACGGCTAAATTCTGCGCCTATTGTTCAATCATTCCTTCCTGAACAGCGTAAGCATCCCTGTCGTCTTCCGCTCTGTAGACTGGACCACCGCCGTGTCTCTCCAGATCTGCAGTGGTTTGAGAGCAAAATCAATCGCACCCTCGCCGGCAGTGGCTTTGCGTAGGAGGTAGGGGAACATTTGGCCTATAAATTGAAGGTCTGGAACTATTCACGCCCCACGCCGCTCGGCTGCTGACGAATCGAAAACCGTCATCCGGTTGGAGAGTATGTCAATAACAACGCCAACCCATCTGTTCTTATCCACTGCAAATGGGAAATAGACAAAGTCAATGTCTTTCACCCAAATTTTAGGCTGTGCCGACACCATATCCATGATATTTTCTTCGAAATCAAAGGTCTCTTTCCGACTTGATTTGTTGAATTTGAGATAGAGCTTCGCCATCGACACAGCCCAGCTACTGGGGAGTATGTCAGAGCGCATATCTTCCGATGGTGTGGAGCAAGCTAGCCATGATTTCCGCAGAATCTTCACGCATGCATTCATGACCTACGGGAGAAGAAGGTGAAGCGTTAAGGAGGTTAGGATGTCCGGAGTTACAGAGAGCAATAAAAATTAGTTCCTACCTTTGGACGGGACGGTGGTATCGACCGCGGTAAATCGATTACATCTTGCTCCCTGATGAGCAATCCTCCACCCACGTTTAGAACCCTATAAAACAAAAGGAACTGTTATATTATGTTATGGGCTGTTATATAATATTATATAAGTCTACGTATATGGATCATTGTAGACGTTTTATGTGTGTGGGAATATCCATGGATTCGCGTGTATATTTACATATACTCATACCTGTCGGGCGATGAGTTGTTGGATAGTGCAGCGAATTTTGGGTTCTCTACGCCCGAGGAGGGTCTCACTGATTGTGATTCGCCTTCGGTATCGGGGGCCAGGGATTTTTTCAGCGCAGAGGGCAGGGTCGTCAGGCTGTTCAGTAACTGGTTCGGTAATGAGATCCCCGTCGCCGATGTCCTGAGTCTTTGGCTCATCACTGCCCTTCTGATCGTAGGTCTGCGGGTTACGCCCACTTAATTCGTCGTTCATGCGGTCTGTCTCCGTCTCTGTGTCGATATCCCTGATAACTTGGTCTGCTACTGTGCCCTGGCCTGCTGCGGTGAGCATGGCAGACATCTTATCCTTCAGACTCCGCTCCAACCTACTTTCCATTGTCAGCATTGACGAGGCCACTGAGTCGACCAGCTTCAATTGGGCCGTCTTCATGGGGGCGTATATAAGCTCTGCTATCCTCTCGGCCGTAATTGGCTGTGGATCTCCTAGGTTGGACGGCTTTACAGAGTTACGAGCTTCTCTTAATTTTTTGGCTCGCACAGGAGCAACAGGCTTTTCTTTCCGCCCGGTCGACAGATTCCTTTTCCTGCTTTTAACGACAGATGATTGTGTGGGTGGAGAATGGCCAACTTCTCCACCGATAAAAGAATCCCTGCAAAACTCGGCTCATTCTGCAATTAGCATCTCCATGTAATCAACCTTCAGATCCGGGGTTTCATCTTGCCACTCTAGCGTGTCTGCTGGAATGTCATGGGTGTGTAATTCTATAATTGAAGACATGACAACCTGCAATACGCGAGCAGCATTAGATAATATGACGACGCACATCAGAAAATTCAAACAAGACTGATGGGTACGTAAACATGAACCCCCATCTACTAATATATACGTTTACATTATTTTGTCAATGTTTTACCTGGCCCGACGAATCCAGATCTCAGAGCTTATCGAGTTTGAGAGTGCTGGCCGTAGCGCACTCTTCCTCCTCTGACTCGCTCCCGCTTTCTCCCCCCATCGTCATCAGCGCTGCTGGGACCGCCTTGAGAAGAACCAACTGGACGGCATGAATAAAACCCTGAACGACAACGGTAGGCTGTGCTAGCTGAGTGGTGGTGCGGGATTTGATGCACCGAACAGTCATCTCGAAGCAATGCCAGCCCCAAGGGAAGCTGAGAAAATAGTCAAGGTCTCTGATCATCTCCGCGTGGTCTTTGGGGATCTTCATGCCTGCGGATTTGCGGCAAAGCAGTCCATCGACTATGAGTAGACAAGCATATTTGACTTTCATCTCGCTGGACAGGTTTTTGGAGCGCCTTAGCATTGCCTCTAGCTTCTCCCCGGTGACATTTTTGTCACCCCGAATAAAGTGAACCAGTATGAGACTTCTCCGGGTTTACACTTCAGCATTTCTCGAGGAGGGGGTGAAATGGGTTTGCAGTTTAAGTCTGTGACAATCGCGAACTCGCGGATAGAGAATTTGACCGGCTTGCCGCCGAAAATGAACCACAGCTCATGCTTTTTCTCGGATTTCAACTGACGTGTCAGTAGAAAATGGGCAAGTTTGCCGGAGTGAGCGGGTTTGTGATACATTTCGAGCAACTTCCCAAAGCACGGCCGGATGAGAGAAAGCTCGTCAGGTGTGAGAGCTTTTAGGATAACCCCGAGCGTTTCGAGTTTAAAATACGAATTCACTCGGTCACCAACTGGCTCTTGGTGATCAGCGAATAGTCGGTGAGGAAGCGTGTTAGATTCCATCCCTGCCAACAAACAGAGAAAACAAAAGAATTAGTCTACATGGTTACATGAAAATGTAAACACTCTATGAAAGATTATGGATGTCTACACCCCAGTGTATACATATATGTAAACAAAACCGTGCTTAATCAGCGATGTCTGTGGTGGTCTATCTACTGCTAATGGATGTCTACATAACAAGGAGGATGCGATATATCGTAATATGTGCAAAGCCCCAACGGCAGTAAATGCAAAATTGATCTACGAAAATTAAACATATGTACTCAATTGCATGTTGTGTGGGACTTGTTTGAAGGATAAGTGGGATCACATATGGTGGGATTCATCTCCCGTTCGAGCAAAATTTACAGAGTTCCTCGAATCGCAAAACAAAGACGGAGGTAGAGGGGCATCGATAATCGCCACCAGAGATCGGAGTAATGAAATAAAGATTATGAGTAAATGGAGGGGAGTATAAATTACCCAAATTGTCAGTTGCTGCCTTTCGGGTATCGCGGCGGTGATGATTTGTTCCTCGCGGTCGAAATTACTCAGAGACCACCGCAGATGGAGACAACGGGATTAACCACAGACGGCGTTAGCGCAGTAGTGACAGAGTAAGGTTTCCGGCTAAGTGATAAGTCGACGGGCGAGTAAATTCCGAGACCGGCGGTAATTTCGGGGTTGGAAGCAGTTCGGAACTGGTGTTGTTCGTAGGCGTCTATTAGGCTTCCAGAGATGATAGTGAGAAACTGCTATTAGGGTTCGGAAACCGAAAGGGCGCGAGATATTAGATGAACAATCAAACTCACTCCACAAATGGATATAGTTGTAACTTTACATAATTAAGCAGAAACAATTATATTATTTGTTCGTGTGATCTCACGTGCTACTTGCAAGTGGTTCGAATATTGGTTGTGCATGAGGGTATCGTGGGTAAAAGTAATGGCAAAATAATTTAATACTTTGGCCATAGAAAATAATAGTTAATTCCTTAATTTTATACCAGTTCTTTGTCATCTGGTGCAATTTTCTTTTTTTTTATTGCCACTCTCCCTAATTACATGGACTCTTCCTCTGATCCTTGATTAGGATTCTTAGTTCAAGGGGGGAAATGTGTTGGTGATTTTATCTAGTCCACGAGAGAATAATAAATCAAGAATGAATCTGAGCTTGGTTTATCTATCTGTTTTGACTTTTGACTAACAAGCCTAGTTTTTAAAATATGATAGGCTTGAAGTTTTGATCAATTTAGTTTCCAAATATTTTTTTCACCTTTTTTTTAATACTGATTTATTAATCTATTGTAAATTATAAGAACTGTTATATCGACGCGCTCTCTGGGATTTGAAACTTAAACCTCCTAGTATAGAACCATTAATAAACTCTTATTAAACCATTGGGCTAAGAGGTTTCTACAGATGTTTTTTTCACCTTATACAGATTTCCTGTAAGCTATCTTCTTATGGAAATAATACATTAGAGTAATTCCTTATTATTAAGCTGAAATCCAAACAAAAACTCAAACTGGAAACTATATCAAACAAAACTACAAATAATTCAAATTTGGTTTCACTTTCTTTAACAAACCCGAAAACGGCTGAACCAAAACCAAATTGTTAACCGGACTGCCGTATGCATTTCCCTTTAAACCTAATAAAAAACCAAGACAGAAATTTGACAACCAAACATAAAAATAATTGTGAATTCAATCGTAGCGAATCAAGTAGAATATTGGAGGCCTTGAAGTCTCGATATATGACTTGAGCATCGTGAAGGAAAGCAAGCCCTCTTGCCGCACTAATCGCCACTTTCATCCTTGTTTTCCACGGAATCGGCTCTGCCCCACCTACACAATGTAACCAGACTTCTATTACAACATTATCTTTTCTAACTAATAATTTGTTGAGTTTGTACATAAATCTGAGCACCTAAGTTCGATCAGTATGTTTTAAAACATCAACTATAAATTTAATATGAAACTTTCAAAAGGACTCCAAGATAATTTGAGACAATAGATCTGACCGGGACGATTAGCTCGGTTTAGCATAGATTCTTGAGGATCCTGATAATCAACAGTTTCTCTAATCAATGACTTCTCGACTCAGTTGATCTCATAATTAGCGACAAGATATAACAAATGATATACAATTTGAGAGAGGAAAGAAGAGGTGTCTTGCTACATACCACCACGATAAGGACTTTCTCTGCTATCTACTTTTGCAAAAGAACCAAAGCAATTGCCCATTAGAGAGAATCTGAGAAAGAAAAAAAAAATCTGAAATCCTGTCTGCTGAAGCAACGATGTGAGGCTATAAATTTTGGTGTAGGCAGAAAATGAAAACAACAGAGGGAAAATGGGAAGAAGAAACGGAGTATGGAGATAGGGTAATGTGAAATGAAACAGAGGATATATATATATATATTTCCCAAATTTCGCTCCTAAGTTTTGATTTTTGTAATATGGAATAAACGTTTGACGAAGCAATCTTTACAATGAGCTGGATTTTGGTCATGGGCTAGATAAGATTAACGTTGTTTAAATATAAGACACTAGGTGGTTGGTCCGCACATATGTGCGGATATAATTTTTTTGATATACATAATTAATTATAATATTTAAATATTAATTAGTTTTTTTAAATATTGATATGTTTATATATATATTGTTTTAATATTTCACAAACTTTTTCTTTCTGAAACCAATGTATCTAAAACTTTTTATTTTTATAATGCTTATAATAATATATAATTACAAATATAAAAATTATGTTAAATAATAATTAAATTCTGATCATACTTAAAAAATTTATATTGATGATGTAGAGACTGTAGGAAGTTGGACAGTTTTCACAGCTTTTATTTTACCAATCATGCTTTTACTACTTTTATTCATTTTAAAGTCTTTACAGTCAATTTCAGTTTTTCCCATTTTTTTGTATTGTTATTTTAAAAGTTTCTTAAACGTGGCTGTGAAAACCAAAAAATATTTTTATTTCCTTTTTCTTATCAAAATAAAGTTTTTCTTTTTCTCATAATAACTAAAATCTATATCTAAATTTATATTGATTTGATCACAATTTTTTATATGTAGATTAATCATTACATTTTTTCCGTCTTCTTTTAAAATCCATATCACCATATTTTACATCACTTTATTATTATGTTGTCTTTAGTATTATAAATTAGAAAATATAGAAAATAGAAATAAACCACAGTTATTAATTATTTTTACTTATTTTATAATAAATAAAATTATTACTTATTGATATTTTTTCTATTTTAAGATTCATTTTTCTAAATAACTAATCAATTTTCAATTTTTTATTATGCATGTAAAAAACTTTAATAAAAGATCAACATTATTTTTTACATATTGATATTTATAACAACTTAAAATATAACATTTATATTTTAGAAAAATAATTTTTTACAGTTTTTACAGTTTCTTGTTACCATTCATACTTTAAAAATATATATAAAGTAACAGTCACAGTTTTACAGTCAAAATTTCTACATCTAAAAGTTCACAGTCACAGCCTACAGTCACAGTTCTTACCGATCGGATCCATAATTTTTTTTGAATATTTCTATAATATGCTTTATTTCTCCTTACACAATCTAGAATATACTTTTTGCGTCTTGCATAATATAAATTTTCAAATACATATATAATATATTTTTAAGTATATATTTTTCTTCATTTATTGCAAATTAAACTGAAATAGTTTTTACCATTTTTACTTATTCATAAGAGCGGATAGATGGTTGGCACGCATGTGCGGACATACCAACCACTTCACTACACTAAGAATACATAAAACAACTTAAAAACATAAATTATATAATAACTAAAATAAAAATTAGACTGTAATCAATCTTAACAAAATATATGCATGCATAAGTTCGCATATGACTTCAACTAATATATAATTAATATTTGTGTATGTATGCGTATTTGTAAAAAAAATTGAAATATGGCTCTTACGTGTTAAAAAGGTTTTAAGTGACTTTGTAAAACAAAGTGCGAGAGATTTATTTTTATATACTTCTATTTTTATTTCTTATTAATATTGTTTCATCTTATTATAATTTATTCTTTCGTTCAGTTATTTTTCATTTCATTTATGATATCAAAATTTTGATAAACAATGAAAATAAATTTATGTGTATATATATATATATATGAATATGATATAAATTTTTTTATTTATTTAAAATATGATAAGAGATAAGATGAGATGGTAACATAAGTTATGTACATTTTTGAAATCAACAATAAAAAGATGATAAAAGTTATAGAAAAATATATGGTCCTATTAATATTATAAATAATAATTAGTATATACTTTATTCATTTAGTAAATATTAGTTTGAAAAAAAAAATTATCTAAAATTACGTTTTCAAAAAAAAAATCAATAAAAGTTAATTATTTTTTTAATATTTTATTCTTTAAATTATTTTTATCATGATTATTTTATTTAAAATTGTATTATTTAATAATTTGTTTATTTAAAACTTGTTTAGATGTTATTAATATATTTTGTAAATTAATAACTTTCTGAAATAAAAATATATCATCTTTAAGTATTATTAATATATAGAATTTTTACTATTCTATTAGATAATTTAGTATTATGTTTTTGTTTTTATATAAAATTATAATATATATATATATATTATTGAAAAAAATTTCGTAATTATATTTTATGAAATTATGAATATATGTAAAAAAATTAAAATTATAATAACTTTTATTTCTGTTAATTTTAATATTATAAATATAATCTAGTTTATTTATGTTTTAATTCTACAATTTCTATAATTTTAAGTCAACCAATCAAAATATTTCATTTATTTTAGGAAGTTTGACATGTCACATTTACATATCATCAATTAAAAGCACTAATTTTGGCTGTAGTGTTGACAAATAGGCTATTTTCAATAATGTTACTTCTCAAAAAATATGTAGTGGATTTCTACGAACTCTAGTTTCGTATGAGAGTAAATTGGCCTTAATCCACGACACATCCTTGCTCCGGACATAGTCCAAACCCCGCCTGAATAGCCTCGATAATTTCAGTCCACTCAATTAGTCTAACCACTGCATAGTCCTGAATTGGACATGGCCATATAACTCATCCTTATCTTTAGAACGTTAGAGCTACTATAAAAGTAGCAAGACATCCTTCGAAATTAGATTTAACCATGTTTAATTTTAGTCAACATTAGAAATTCCTTCGAAAGCAAATGTGTTTTTCTTTAAGCCCTTTGCCTCTTATGTTTTCCTTGGTTGGAGGAAAAGAAAAACAAATCTGACTCTACCTTTTACGCTGTTCCTTTGGAACATTATGAACATATCTAAAGTTAATTTTTCAATGTACTCCATGCAAAAGTATATATTTTTTTTTAATAAACATCATTTAAAAATTATACATGCAAAAGAAATGAATTCTTTTATAAGATTTTTTTTCTTTTTTTTTTGTGTGTTGATGAAACTTTTTGCATTTCCAAAATTGGAATCTTTATTTGTGTTTTATAATTTAATTAGAAAGACTTTATAAAATAACTAAAATATCATATTGTCTTCAAAGTTTAGCTAGTAAACAGATATATGCCTTCAGAGATTTTTAAATGATTAGAATATCGGAGTCCTTTACATTTTGTAAAAGAATAGTCTGACTTTCCAAGATTTATTAATTATATATATAAGTGTATACTGTATTAGGCTTTTCCGTGATGCTTATTATCAGTTGATCGATTCTGACATCATCTATTTGACTTTCAACTTTTCAATGCAATATATTTGGTACATATCATATCATGCGATATTGGCCAGACTTATTCTTGTTTAATTTTAGACAATATTAGACATCTTTCAAGACATCCTTAGAAAGCGAAGGTGTTTTTCTTTCAACCCTAAAGCCTCTTATATTTTTCATGGTTGGAGGAAAAGAAAAACAAAATCGGACTGTAGTTTTTACGTTGGTCCTTGGATTAATTCACATTATCACTCAAGCAACAGTACTCACTATGACTTTGTAATAGTATAAAATACTCATGTGAAAAACATGTACCAGCAAAAAAAATTATAGTCATTGTATGGTTACAATTTAACATTTATTTTAAACGTAACATTTCCAATTATAATTAATTTAATGTTCGTACTGGAGTAAAAATAAGGAGAGCCCATGTTGTAAAATAAAATCTATCGAAATTATTTAATGATGATAATGCTAATAAAATCTACATACAGTAATACATTTTCGTAGAATCGTCTCTACATTTTTCTATGATATGATGTAACCCAAGAATTTGAACCAGTTTTGTAGAATGGTTTTTTTTTTTTTTTGCGGTATTGTTTTTCTTACTATATAGTATATACTGTATAATGAAACTATATTGGTGAGCTCAAATATATAGTCGACTGATCATAACGAAATGAAATAATTATATGATAGCTTGAGAAATTAGACTTATGTATATATATAGATTACTAACAATCGGCTAAAGAGGCAGTTCTTTCGTTAAACCTCTATTCCAGTACAGTGGGAAATAGAAGCCGAGATGATGTCGAGATCCTAGGCATAGATTCTATCTCCTTTCGTTTCTCTTCAAGATTGCATGTTTCCATGAAGATCTCCACAGTCTTTAAACACTTTGAGTTAGCGAGAATGTATGACAATAGCTGCTTCCCAACTTCTCTTCCTTCATAGTAGCTCCACCGAAAGATCTCTAGATGAGACGACAAGCATCCGGGAACTGAACTTGGCTGGTTCCAGGATGGTGGGAGTCCCCCGGGATCCTGACATCAGTACATATACTTTAAAATGAAGTTCATCGAAACTAGATGCGCTTGTTTAAAGGGAGGAGGGTACTTACTACTGTCTCGATGGTAAGAGTTTTCAGTTTAGGAGAATTTTGAAGCAAAAGCATAAACGGTTCCAACCAATCTACTGAAATATATGGAAAAAACCTAAACTCTGTGAGCCGTGAGAAGTGAATGGCGTTACAGCATGCAACCTGGTGATATAAAAAAAACAGCATTAGTTGACGAAGCAACAAGGACTAAAGGAGAAGGTCAGGGATATATATGTAATGGGTACCATTGATTTGGTCAAAAAAAATTTGAGATGTTTGACAGAAGAAAGAGATCTTAGAAAATTTTCGTTGGGGTTATGAACACAGCCGATGCTTGACACATCAAGGCAAGGCATATTCTCTATCAAACAGTCTTCCCAAACGCCAAATAAGTCCAACTTTGTTAATGCAGGGGAATCGATTACCAACGACCCAAAGAGATCATCGTCATCCTCATCCTCATCCTTCCAATAATAAAATAATGTTTGTAAGGAAGACACTTTCACGGTAAAGTTTGTCACCTTGTCATCCTTATGTCTTTCCACCGTCAGATGCTGGAGAACCGGGGAACTTGATAAAAGCTTAACAAGAGAACCTTCGTCTTTATACACCACACAGAGGAGTCTCAAAGATAAGAGAGATGGTAGGCGAGCCAGGGAAGAAACATCCACAAGGATCTTGTTTGATAGAGTTAACCTAACGAGCGTTTCGCATGTGTAGAGGCTCTTAGGAAAGCGTGTGGGCTCTGCGGACCAGAGGAGGTAGAACTGTAAGTATTCCACACCGCGATCAACTGCGTTTTCAACCCACTTCCCGACATCTACGTTAACAAGACAACGTGGACCGAGTTCGACGATCAAGCTCTGTAGTTTCGGCGCCTTGTGGAGTTTCAATGACTCCTCAATAAACCGCCCAAGGCTCTCGCTGCCTTCGTCTTTGAAGGTGAGTTCTGGCAACATCGTCCAGACAGGACGCCATCGTTTAGACAAGATTGCAGTGGCGAATGCTTCTTTCGTCGGGACGAAATACAAGATCCGCAAGAGCAAATCGTCGGGCAAATCACATATTCTATTTTCGATTCTCTGACAACCTTCGGTTTCTGGAAGAGTTATTGGTAGATGCCTAGTATCGGGCATAATATCCCACAAAAAAGACCAACAACTTAAGCAACTCATAGATGCGATATATTGTTCCCAGTACCTAAACCCTCTTCCCTGTTTACTTCTTAGTTCTCTTTCTCGTCGCTGGGTGTGACAAAGACAAAACCCTAATTTATATCACAGAAAAGTAAGTCTATAGACTTACACACAGGTACCTAAACCCTCTTCCGGTCTTCCCTCTTTACTTCTTACTTCTCTTTTTCGTCGATGGGTTCGTCTGACAATGAGAAAAGGTATTTCTGGAAGCCGGCCTATATAGTTTTTCTTTACAAAATAAGTAACAAATATTAGTACAAAATCAAACTTGCCAAAATTTTAAAAGTAAAATATACAAATCGATCATTATATTGTTTTAGAAAATTTATCATCAAACCAAACAACTTTTTTTATCAAAAGGACTGGTCGGTCCGTCTCACTCATGTGTTCTGTGAAGCAACCCGGTTGGCTGATGGATTAGCCAATCTGGTTTTTGCTTCCCCTGCAGGGATCGGGTTTATGGATTCTCCTCCTGATGAACTGTTGTCGATTGTTTTAGATGATATGAATGAGGTAGCAATTGCTCGCAATGTGCGCATGTAATGTCACTTTGTTGTTTTATTTTCAATAAAGTTGGGGATGACCTCCCCTCATTCGCACCAAAAAAAAACAATTTTTTTTATCCTGATTTCAAAGATCTTGAAAAGTTTAATGATGCTTTACTGGCTAAACAAGTCTGGAGACTACTCCATCACCCTCATTACTTATTCTCTCGCTTATACAAAGCTCCATATTTTAATGATGACCACCCTTTTGATGCTAAACCACGTAGATGCCAATCGTATGGTTGGGCATCGATCCTGTATGGAATTGATCTCATTAAAAAAAGTTCTCGAGTTATTATTGGTAATGGTTATCAAAAAAAAGTTTTCGACCACAACTGGTTTCCCTCTAACCCTCCAAAACCAGCTGATGGTGGAGATGTGAATTCCACCTTATTGGTGAAAGATTTACTTACTATCGGTCACACTAAAAGTTGGAACATCTCTGCTTTAACTCCTTATCTTTCAACAAGTGATATGGAGCTTATGAAAAAAAAACTAATTAAGCCAAAGCAGCAGCGAAGATCGTATATGTTGGCATTATACAAAATATGGACAATATATTGTTAAATCGGGTTACTGGTTCTTCCGTCATCAACCAAATTCTCAAATCGCAGCTCCTCCAATACCACACGGTGATTTCCTTCTCAAGACTCAAATATGGAAACTCTAAATAATGTCTAAACTCAAATATTTCTTATGATGAATTCTATCAAAAGCTATTGGAACTGCTACTAGACTTCAAAGCTGTGGAATTGCAATTTTTACCACTTGTATTCACTGCGGAACTGCGCCATAAACAATACAACAAGTTTTCTTTGAATTCCCCATTTCCATATCAACGTGGAGAAGGGCCAGAACACTTTTTATTTTCTGACTATCATTTCACAAGATACAAATAGTATCATACGACTCCTTCTAGATGCACAAACAATTGGTGGTTTAGATGAAAAAGATAAATTGCTTCCTTTGTGGATTCTCTGGCCTATATGGAAATCAAAAAATAATCTGATCTTTCAAAAGAAGTGAATTATGATTAGCAAAGATGTAAACAAAGCTATAGCAGATGTAAGTGAATGGATCAAAAACACGACTACCTCACAGCCTGGAAGTGGACTGGTCAGAGAGCTAACTAATTCTTTAACAAAAAAAAAAAGAGAGCTCGCCAATTTTAGGAACAAAAATACATCAAACTGGTGCAACAGTCACCACTTCAGCGCCAGAGTGTCCCCAAGAGTCCCTCCCAAACAGTTCAGTGTTATACACACAAAAACGATCAAACAGTTAAGAAGATAAATGTGGTTTTTGGAGTACTAACAATGAAGCGTTAAAGGGAACTCATGGGAACATTCGACTCTCTTCTTCTAGCTCTGTTTGTCCTAATCTACAACTCACTAACTGCATGCCTTATTTATATATCAGTGCAAGGTTCTCCAATTCTTCCTTTTTCCGAAGAGAATTCTTTCAATGGGACCAATAATTATAAATTCGAATCACTCTATTAAAGAACGTGTAGAAATTTGAAAGATGAATGGAGAAATTTTGGCCTCGTTAGATATTTGACTGAATATATAACTATTTCGTCCCTCAACTTGCTTAAAATATTTGAAACGACAGAAGTATTATGTTTTTTCGCTGATATGTTTTTTCTCTGATATGTTTTTTCTCCCTCATTTTTTATTGCCACGCGTCACATAAATATTCCTAACATCATTCAGACCATTTAATCTTCTCATGCAATGCGGGTGAGCAATAGATTGTGGGATTGTTAGAATTTTACATTGAACAAATATTCTATAATATTGTATAGACCATAAAGAAAGTGGTATAATATCGTATAGACTTTATTGCTTCTTGTGTTTGCATACATTTTATTAACATCATTTAAAAATTATACATGCGAAAGAAATGAATTTTGCTTTGAGTGTGTTGATGAAACTTAAAATAACTAAATTAAAGGTTGAAGAGCAAGAACCGGGATGGGAACTGTAATAACTTAAGAAGCATATAGTGTATAAAACAGAATCTCTAATCTTCACATCCTTTCTATCTTTTGAAAAGCCGCAAGGACTTTTCTTCAAAATTCGTATTCTCTTTACTCGTTCCTTTAACCCCAATTTGCGTCTACATTCAAAATGCTTGCCTTACCCATCATCTATTAGTTTTCTCTCTCTCTCTCTCTCTCTCTCTCTCTCTCTCTCTCTCTCTCTCTCTCTCTCTCATACAACATTGCAGAGTATCATTTAAGGCTCTAAGCCTTTGATTGTATATAGGAACCTAACTACTCCCATCTTCTCAAACCTTATATATATATATCAACCTCTTGGACTCATATTTCCAAACATATGTACATGCTAATGTTTGTAAACAAGCATCATAACAAGCATCATAATTCTTGGTCGGATGTCTCCTAGAGTTCCTCTGAGCACTTCATTGGGAAAACAAGTTTTTTTTCTTATTATGATTACCCACTGAAGTGTTTGGGGGAACTCCCGGACCCATTCAACAAATTTGAACATGTCAAGACGAGACTTCAGATGGGGCACATTTCCTGCTAAAGCCATCTTACATACTTTTTGACGTTTAAGGTTTTAATTTTTGTTTAAATAGCGTATATATACATTTTCACACAAGTACATAGAAAAAAGTATGAGTTTAAACAACTCAAATTTTTGGTACGATTTAAAGTCGTTTTGTTTTTGGGACGCAGAGAATTTTATCTCGAATCTTAATGTATAGATTTTCATTCTTTCTATCTTGTTTGACATACTTGTTTGCAGCTTTTCTAACTTTCTTGGATCTGATTGTAGAGCTGGTACAACATGATGATCAAGTCTCAAGAGCTACTCAGGGAGCCTTCACGCTTACTCGATTGAGTCAATCACTCACCATTGTATTCGTGGGATGAGTTTGAAATTAGTCAATCACGGTTACGATGATAGTTTATTTGGTTTCAGTTTCGATTACTTTGATTTGTTCAAGATTTAAATAATGATATACGTAATCAGTTTAAGTTTTGTTCGATTAGGCTTTAGTTAAATAGTAGCATTTTATAGACTTGTTAAAAATAACTTTACAGTTACTTGAGGAGAAATCACTCTGTGGAGTATATGGACTTATCTTTTTGACGTAAAAAATAGCAAAAGAGTTTGTTAAAGCTACAACAAAATACGATGAGAGTTGAGATACAACAAATAACTAATCATCTATCAGTGTCTACGCTTTTTGATATCTTCTGCTTCCGTAAACCTATAAAAAATAACTCATCTTACAGATGTTTCTCGAAAGGTAGTGAGAGGAAGTACAAACTCACTCTTTTACATCCAAATTTACATCCAGCTTTTTTTTTATAAATACACAAATAAACAATGTTACATCCAAATATTGTATCCAAATGTCAAAATTAGAATTTAAAACTAACAATATCTAGATGTTGCATCTGAAAGTTGCATTTAGATGCTAAATCTAGATACAACATCTAGATCAAGAAATGAACAGGGCCATAGTCTAAACGGCCATAATCTAAACCTTGATTTATATAATTCCAAGCTAGCCACATGTCTGAAGCTTTTCATTTCAGATTAAAAATATTTGACGAATTTTTAAGGAATACATGTAACTGCTATCTTAGAGGTAATTTTAAGATTTTTTTTTATATAACTGAGGGTACATTCCAGATCTATGGAAGAGTCCAGACTAATTTAGCAATTTCGCATTTGAGAGGAATCGATCTTTGGCCTCGACCAATATGGCAACTCTTCCTCAAGTGGAAACCACTAGACCACCACTACTTGGTTAAGGTAATTTTAAGATAGCCATGACATCCTTCGAAATTAAATTTATCCATATTTCATTTTAGTCAATACTATTAGTTATGTCTTACTTTTCTGTGTGATAATGAGGAGATAGGATCATCACAGCTAACGTAATATTTTCGGAAAGGCTAAAAGCATAAAATAGATTAGTGCGGACTCTGAAAAAAAAGGCAAATATCACTGCGCATGCACGGTAGGGTTGATGCATATGATAGCTTAATCTCATAGAGATTTCTTTCAAATCGAACCAACATATGAGAAGAAAAGCATTATACCATGAGACCCATAAACAAACATGCACATAGACATGAATTAAAACATTAGACGTATAATCACATAATATTCGAGATGTAATTACATATCTTGTGGAAGAGGAAAAAGAGAGAGAGAGAGAGAGAGAGAGAGATGAAATTCCTTAACTCATTTCGATACGAATCTATATTTCTCCAATTCCCTAAGCCCCCGTTTACGTCCAGGTTCAGACTTCATGCACTCCTCACATTTTATTTCCCCATCCATTATAAATACAGTCCATTCTTCCACTCTTTTCTCAAACTCTAAAGACAAGTTTGAGTTTAATCTTTAATTCTTTCTTAGTTACAAATACATCTATATGAAGTTTGTAATATCTCCAAGAAAATATATATAAGCCTTTGTTCCAAAATAAAAAATTATCTCCAAGAAAAAATAT